TGGGCGCTGCGGAGGACCCCGATATTGCGACGACGCCAGCGGCGGGCGGTTCTCCGGCATCGTGGGTGATGCTGTGGGGGTTTACCCCTCTTGGCCTTCGGCCCAGGTAGGCAGGGAGCCTGGGTGGAATGTGCCCTTTCATCTCGGCTTCTCTCACCTCCCGCATAGGCTTCAGTGCTTGCAGTGCCATACGCTGCTCCAATTTCTGCCAGAAGCGCTGGAATGCCTTGTCTATGCGTCGGAGGGAGCGCTTGATCATGTTGTCGCCGTGGCCTGCATCTGTAGGCGCCATTTGTGTTGCGGCGTGCGTGCTAGGCCTGCTTTGTATTGGGCCTGGGTCTTTGCAGGCTGTGAGGGTGTGAGCAAGAACCTGCTGCCCATCGATGGGGACCGGGATGACCCCCACCGGTCCAAAGGGGGGGGAACGAGGGCCCAATGTCGAGTGTCCAGTCGAGAATGGCATCGGAGGAGCGGCCACCTTCTCCGCGCTTGTAGGCCGCATTCTGTATTCGGGCAATTCTCGCTTCAATTGTGGCATGTTTAGTACCCGTTGATTCGCCCGGGTGTCACCAGTAGCTCAGTGGCCCTTGTGAGTCGAGTACTCGCTGTAGTTTAGTGATTTTGTCGCTTTATTTGCCAGTTAGAGCAGGAGCCAAGTGTACAGGCATCCACTCAGCTCAGCAGCCAGGCCCCGCCCCCCCCCATCTCATTATATTGAGTTTTGAAGCAGAAGTAAAAAAAAAAAATCATCAATGTATACCATTTTATATTTTTAGGATTTATAAAAAAACAACAAGTTCTGCAGCATTCCTAACAAAAGTAATTGCCAGTGAATAAATCTGACATAAAGAAAGTGAGTTATCGGTGCACAAAAGATGAAGTGAAATGTATTATTTTTAAATAGAAGATTGATTTCTAGTGGTACTATCAATATATTGCCTACAAGGTCAGATGAGGTCAGTTCAATACAGGTGCTTGAAGCCTTTCAATAATGATGCTATTAACAAAGCACCAAGAATGGGGAAAATACTTTTTTTTTTTAATAGAAAGAGCCATCTTGGGGTGCAGTGGGCACCCTCTTAACAAGGGAGACCTTGCACCACCTACAGGGGTATTGAAGTGTCACTCTAAGCACCATAACAACTTTGCTTTACTGCTGTAACATTACATATTAGTACATCAAGGGTTAACATATTTTATCACATCTTCTGTAATGTAGATGTTTTGACATGTGTCATTTCTGATGCAAGACTATAACAGATTGCATAAGTGAATAGTTCCCCTATCTTGTGCCCTTGTAGCGTATTTCACCCATTGACAATGCTTGCAGAATTCTGGATGCACAAGACCAATACTGTCTAATAAGCTTAGCATCTCCTATTTAAATCTTCACTCCTACTGGAATAGGGCTCCTTAGTAGTTTCATGTTGACTCGGTAGCACACTTCTCTTTGCTCCTGTGTACTTTGGTTTTGGCAAGTTTCTCATAGATTCTATTCTCTGGTACTTGTTTTATTGTCTGACCCCCTGTGTCCAGTGACTTTCCCATCTCTTTACCATCCCTCCTTTGAGTTTGTGAGCTTTAAGCATGACAATTGTAAGGATCGGTAGTATGTCTTTTTTTCTACCTTGTTTTGCACTTTTTGTTATAAACTTCATATGCAAAATTAACCACATCTAAACATTACAAAAGGTCCATTCATCCCACTAGTATAGATCAACAGCTACTTGTCAGGCTAGCAAGTAGAAATGAAATCAGCATATGAATATGGTAAGCAAAAGTTCTGCAAATGCTACAGCAACTTTTCTGCAACAGGAACATTTAAGAAGCTTTATCTGCCGAGTCTGCCGAGACTGCTAAGGGCTCATCTGTTAGTCTGACTAACATGCAAAGTGTGGACCAGAGTCCAAAACAAAGGAGCTAAAGTATACTACCATGACCTTTGCAATTTCTTCGTGTGGAGGATGAGTCATACTAGTCATTTCCATTGTCTCTGTTTATGTCAGAAGACATAATGATGTCACACACCACCAAGAAGTTAATTGCAGCAGAAATTGCTACTTACTCAATTACAGATTTAAATATAACAACTCTTGGACACAAACTGAGGCACAGGGTCCACCAGCAACAAGATGAGAGATTCCATGTCACCTAGTATTTAATTTCACACCACTTCTTAAAGGCCCACTATAGGCACCCAGACCACTTCAGCTCAATTAAGTGGTCTGGGTGCCAGGTCCCTCTAGTTTTAACCCTGCAGCTGAAAACATAGCAGTTTCAAAGAAACTGCTATGTTTCACAGAGGGTTAATCTAGCCTCTAGTAACTGTCTCATTGACAGCCGCTAGAGGCGCTTCCGCGCTTCTCACTTTGAAAATCACAGTGAGAAGACGCTGACGTCCATAGGAAAGCAATTAGAAATGCAGTCCTATGGACTGATTGAATGTGCGCACACATGCGCTTGCCACGCATGCACATTCAGCAGATGACATCGGAAGAGGGAGGAGAGTCCCCAGCGCCGAGGGAGCCCGGCGCTAGAGAAAGCTAAGCGTTTAACCCCTTGCTCCCCCTTCAGTCCGGCGGGAGTGGGACCCTGAGGGTGGGGGGGACCTAAAGACGAGTTTGTTTTCCTGGCTCTATAGTGGTCCTTTATGCAAACGTTTACGAGAAAGGCTAATTATACAGACTTTCAGTATTTTAACAAGTGTTAGAGTGCTTCATATATTCCCCAGTATTGGACCAAATAGACCTCTCATTTAATAAATGTAAAGTGTCAATCAACAAGGATATTTTTATTATGCCAGAAAGAGAAGCTCAGCATGGCTTAAAAATGGACAAGGAATAACATACTATAGAGAGAAGGACATCTCCTTCAAATATGGAGTCCCCCTGCTTGCCAAATAACAAAGTGATTACCATCACATGAAGATATTATTGGACACATTATCAAATTGTATATTTAGTGTAGTTGTGGATGCTTTTAATATAGGACTTGCAATTTTAGTGGAATCCTGTACCAGTTTAAATAAAAGGGCATTAGTTGTGTGTTATCATAAACCATTAGTTATCTCCGAGAGATATATCAACACATCTAGAATTTGTAGGAAAGGAATTTGTTATAATGTATTATAATTTATGTAGCTAATTGATTCAATCTGCATTTCTAAATTATTTCATCATAATAATGACTGCTCTCTATGTTTTACTTTTTGTGTATTATTATTTTGTCACAGTGACATAATATGTGTAAATTAATTATTATGTCCCATAAACCTCAGTTCTGTTTCTATGAGCATTGTTACATTGTATTGACATCATCCTGTGGTTTTACGTTATCATATGAATCAGCCTGCTTTGATGTTCTACAGAATTAACCAACCATCTGCACAAAAGAAGCAATCCTAGTCTATTATTTTTTTACATTTCTACTGAAATACTAACCCCATGGCTGCAGTATGCAACTCGAAGGAAATGGCCACATGATTATTTCACTCCACAGCCCACCAAGCTTTGTCAAACAACTACATTCCTGAAAAGATGGGTTTTGAAGGACTTCTTAAAGGACTGAAGACTAGGGAGAGTCTGACGGTGTAGGTAGGCTGTTCCACTGGAAAGAAGCCGCCCGTGAGAAGTCTTGCAGGCGTGAATTTGCAGTAAGGGTGTAAACAGCAGACAGGAGAAGGTCACCAGCCGAGTGAAGAGCCAGAGATGGGGCATTTCTACGAATCAGTGAAGAAATGTAAGCAGGTTGGTTAGAGCTTTATACCTAAAGGTTAGTATTTTGAATTGACACCTGCAGGGTACAGGAAGCCAGTGTAAGGATCAACAAAGGGGTTTGGTGTGAGAGGAGCGACAGGAGATAAAGGTCAGCCTGGCCGCGGCATTCATCACAGATTGTAGGGGGTAGTGCAACTTCTGGGGTGACCAATTAGAAGAGAATTACAGTAATCCATGCAAGAGATTACTAGAGCATGAACAAGCTCCTTGGCAGCATCTTGCGTAAGAAATCGCAAATGTGGAAACTAGTGTCACTACCTCTGAGTCCTTACTTGTCTTTCAATGCATATCCATTGAAAATAACGAGGAAACAACTTGTTCTCACACCTTAAAGATACAACTCAGATATCACATGTAGGACTTGGAAAATCCAAGTAAGAGACATAATATATGAGTCAGGGGATTTAGGGAAGTTGAAGGTCTAGAAAACCTTTCGCAAGCCATCACTGAACTCTCAAACCACATCCTGGGGTAACCCCCAGAATCACACATTGGTAACTATAGGGTACACAGAGCCTCTTACCTCACCTGCACAAGATATTATATGCTGCATTTCAAACTTTCCAACTAAAGCATCCATCATGTTGAAAGCATGTTGAAAGGTCATCCTGCACGTGGCCATTCCGGGACCAAGCTGTGGAAATCTACAATAATCTATCAAGGATAACTCACCAAGCCAGAAGAACCCTGCACCCTATTGCATAAATGTAGTCCATCAATTAATAGACTGTTGGAGAACCCTTCATCCTACTGGTATAGGGATTATACCTTTTACTCATCCCCACATAATAACTACTCACACGTTGACTACTTTTTCATGCACCAACACCTTGATCTCCAACATTGGTTCCACAATTAGAAACATAACATGGTCAGACCATGCCCCTATCTATAACACTCTAACAGCAGAAGATAAACGCGCATTCTTTCAATTTTTTTGTACAAATAAAACCCCATCCACCAATCCGGTCCCGGTCCGGTCCTGGGAAATCCACAAATGTGCAGTGAGTTTTTTAATTAAACATACCACCAGCCACAAGAAGCAAAGAGCTGCCTAAATTAAGTCTCTACCCAAATTGAGGTGGATGGACTTTCTCTAGCACTTAAAATGGCTAAAACAGGCAATAGCCCAGGCCCAAATGGCCTCACAAATAAATCTCCACACGTTTCTTACCAACACTATTACAGGAATTCTAACAAATTGGCCTAACTTTAAATGTAGAAATCAGCTATACCAAATCCGAAATATTGAACATCTCTATTGCTAGCTCACTGTCCCAATCGCTTCAGACCAAGTTTCCATTTAAATGGGTCAAAGATTCCGTTACCTACTGGGGGATTAAAATTGACCTCTAACCTCGGCAAAACCTTGGACCTTAAATTCATGCCACTCCTACAACAGATCTCTAAAGATTTACAAAATTGTGCCCTTCTGCATATAACCTGGTTAGGTAGAATACATGTCCTTAAGATGAATATCCTTCCTCAAATTCTATATCTTCTGCAGACCTTGCCTGTGGCAATACGAAACAATTTGTTCTCTCTTATTTGAAACACTTTCATCTCACATGTCTGGAACAATCGCAAATGGAGATTACATTTTTTTATTCTTATATGACCTAAAAGCAAGACAGGAATGGAGGTACCAGACCTCTCACTATATCATAAATTGATCCATTTGCAATACATCATTGAATGGTGCTTCTCCCCTACAAAGAAAATATGGATTCAAATAGAATCTGAGACCATGGGCCTTTACCAATATGCCCTTTCCTGGTTGCCACCACATCTGCAGGTGAGGTCTTCTGGGAACCACTCTACTGTCTCTCCAACCATTTAGACATGGTGTCAATGTATGACAAGATTTTTACTACTACTAACATATATAGCTTGGAGGAAAGACGAGACAGTAGGATATGATCAACACAGTAAAGGAGGAAACTATATTTAAAAGAAGAAAAACTACCACAACAAGAGGACATAGTCTTAAATCAGAGGGGCAAAGGTTTAAAAATAATAGCAGGAAGTATTACTTTACTGAGAGGGTAGTAGATGCATCTAATAGTCTTCCAGCTAAAGTGGTAGAGGTTAACACAGTGAAGGACTTTAAGCATGCGTGGGATAGTCATAAGGCTATCTTAGCTATAAGATAAGGCCAGGGACTGATGAAAGGATTTAGAAAATTGGGCAGACTAGATGGGCCGAATGGTTCTTATCTACCATCACATTCTATGTTTCTATGTTTCTAACATAATAGAGGTTCAGATGAGAGCCACATGTTCTCCTTGCTATACAAAACTACTTCAGCAATGCATATATGTAGAAAAAAAGGCTTGTTTGTATAGAGTGTACAGCACCTAACATTTGGTAACTGTATGTTCTCCATACTCTTTCCGGTTACTTAAATCAAGTGAATCTCTTACAGTTTGGCATGTGTCATATTCCACTGGATACTTTTAACCAGTCACTTGTAAGGTCAACATACCGCTCTTAAACAGTTACTTCTACCAAAAAACAGTGTTTTAAGAAAAGAAAAAACACTGTTTTTGGTCAGAGTAACCCTTCCTATTCTGCCTCCCACGTAAAAAAAACAAAACAAAAAAAAAAAAAAAAATATATATATATATATATATATATATATATATATTTTAAAATACTAAATAGGACCCTCTGTTTCAGCACCAAGCCCAAGTTCTCCCTCAGGCTGATCCTCCTCCACTGGCTTCATCCTCTCTTTGGTTGAAGGGGAAGGGCAGGCTGAAGGGAGGACAGGGATGCATGGAAGAGGGTTGCATTGCCATTGTCTTTCTCTCTCCAGCATGCTTTCATGTGACAGACACCAAACATGCAAAAAACTGACATTAGCCAGCCTTTATCTCTTCTTCTGGGCTGACTAATGATGCCCAAATGACACTGCTAGAGGTGGAGTTATACTTATAGGATTTAACTCTGTATATGCAATGTTTCATAGTAAAACGTGCACAAAAGTAACCCTTGAAGTAACCCTTTAAAACACAACAGTATATGTATATGGGACTTTTTAGTACATGTCTAAAAATAACACTGAACCAGGGTTGTTCACTAAAGTGTGAATTGACCAAAATATACATAATTGAAAGAAAAAAATCCATACTCCGCTATTTTAACCTAAAATGTTAAATTCTCTGGTCAATTCCTCAAAAGTCATACTTTAAATTGGTGAAAAAGTATCTAAATAACCAATATTCGCGTGTTGATTTTTGCCTAGTAACTACACTGAACAAAATTATAAACGCCACACTTTTGTTTTTGCACCCATTTTTAAAGCTGAACTCAAAGATCTAAGACTTTTTTATGTACACAAAAGGCCTATTTCTCTCAAATATTGTTCACAAATCTGTCTAAATCCACCTCACAGGTGTGGCATATCAAGATGCTGATTAGACAGCATGATTATTGCAAAGGTGTGCCTTAGGCTGGCCACAATAAAAGGACATTTTAAAATGTGCAGTTTTACTGTATTGGGGAAGCCCGGGGTGGTCCAAAAATCAGTCATTATCTGGTGTGACCACCATTTGCCTCACACAGTGCAACACATCTCTTTCGCATAGAGTTGATCAGGTTCAGTGGCGGATCCAGGGGGGGGGCAACGGGGCAATTGCCCCCCCCCGAGAAAATAGTGCAGCTGCCATCAGTTGAGGGACCTCATTAGGGGCTCGGTCGGGTGCTGCAGCCCTTTGGCAGACCGGGCCCCTTTAAAGTTGCAGGGAGTGCTGGGAGGAAGTGACTGTTACTTCCTCCCAGCATACAGACCGCGCGGGCTGAGAACACCCAGGATGCAGCTGGGAGAGAAGACACAGGCTGCAGGCAGCTGGGAGAGAAGGAGGAGGGAGGAGAGAGAGAGAGCTCTGCGGCTTCAGACTCCCATCAGGCTCAGCCAGCCTCAGGAAGTCACCTTCCTGCAAAGAAAAAGGTATTTAAGCAGAGGGGAGGGGGGAAGGTGCTTAACATTATGGAAGCTGCAATTTGTGTGTGTGCCAGTGTGTATGTTTATGTATGTGGACATCTGTGTGTGTCAGTGTGCATGTTTATGTATGTGTACATCTGTGTGTGCAAGTGTGTATGTTTTAGATATGTGGACATCTGTGTGTGCAAGTGTGTATGTTTTAGATATGTGTACATCTGTGTGTGTCAGTGTGTATGTTTATGTATGTGGACATCTGTGTGTGTCAGTGTGTATGTTTATGTATGTGGACTTATGTGTGTGTCAGTGTGTATGTTTAGGTATGTGTGCATCTGTGTGCCAGTGCGTATGTTTAGGTATGTGGACATCTGTGTGTGTCAGTGTGTATGTGTGCATCTGTGTGCCAGTGCGTATGTTTAGGTATGTGGACATCTGTGTGTGTCAGTGTGTATGTGTGCAGCTGTGTGCCAGTGCGTATGTTTAGGTATGTGGACATCTGTGTGTGTCAGTGTGTATGTTTAGGTATGTGGACATCTGTGTGTATCGGAGTGTCAGTGTGTGAATCTGTGAGTATGTATCTGTGTGTGTGTACCACAGACGTCGTCGTCCACTGCACTCAGGTTCCGCTTTTCACTCTGGTCCACAGCCTCAAAGGTGCTCTGGAATAGATAGACACTGCTAATCCGTCCAACAATACAAGGTAATAGAATATACAGGCAACACACCAGGTACCGAAGGTGTATTTATTCGAGGGTAGAACACCACATAAAAGTGCAACTTTTCAGCCCTCGAGGGACTTAAACATGATTAAGGCCCCCAAGGGCTGAAACGTGTTCTACCCTCCAATAAATACACCTTCAGTACCTGGAGTTATGCCTGTATATTCTATTACCTTGTATCTGTGTATGTGAAGGTATGTGTGTCATTCTGTGTATGTGTAGGGATGTGTGTGTGCGGTTTCGCCAGTGTGCATGTGTAGGTATGTGTGTGCCTGTGTAGGTATAGGTTTGTATCTGTGGGTGTGCCAGTGTATGTGTCTGTATCTGTTATTGTGTTTCCATATCACTGTGTGTGGCCGCATATGTGTACAGCCTCTATCCCCTAAACAAGAGTCCCCTATTCCTCCGCTGCAGCCTGTTTCACCCCGCTCTAGCCCACTTAAGTGCCCCTCCCGAGATTTGGTTCTGGATCCGCCCCTGATCAGGTTGTTGATTGTGGCCTGTGGAATGTTGGTCCACTCCTCTTCAATCGCTGTGCGAAGTTGCTGGATATTGGCAGGACCTGGAACATGCTGTGGTATATTCCAATCCAGAGAATCCCAAAGATGCTCAATGGGTGGCATGTCCGGTAAATATTCTGGCCATGCAAGAACTGGGATGTTTTCAGCTTCCAGGAATTGTGTACAGATCCTTGCAACATGGGGCCATGTATTATCATGCTGCAACATGAGGTGATGCTAATAGATGAATGGCACAACAATGGGCCTCAGGATCTATTTACAGTAGCTCATGCAGATGAGCTTCCCTGAGATGGTTTCTCACAGTTTGTGCAGAAATTCTTTGCTTATGCAAACCGATTGTTGCAGCAGCTGTCTGGGTGGCTGGTCTCATACAATCTTGGAGGTGAAGATGCTGGATGTGGAGGTCCTGGGCTGGTGTGGTTACACGTGGTCTGCGGTTGTGAGGCCGGTTGGATGTACTGCCAAATTCTCTGAAACACCTTTGGAGACGGCTTATGGTAGAGAAATTAACATTAATTTCATGGAGAACAGCTCTGGTGGACATTCCTGCAGTCAGCATGCCAATTGCACGCTCCCTCAAAACTTGCGACATCTGTGACATTGTGCTGTGTGATAAAACTGCACATTTTAGAGTGACCTTTTATAGTGGCCAGCCTAAGGCACACCTGTGCAATAATCATGCTGTCTAATCAGCATCTTGATATGCCACACCTGTGAGGTGGATGGATTATCTTGGCAAAGGAGAAGTGCTCACTAACACAGATTTAGACAGATTTGTTAACAATATTTGAGAGAAATAGGCCTTTTGTGTACATAGAAAAAGTCTTAGATCTTTGAGTTCAGCTCATGAAAAATTGGGGCAAAAACAAAAGTGTTGCGTTTATAATTTTGTTCAGAATATATGATTGTGTGTGTTCAAATATGTAATTGCTTGAACTTACCACTAGGAGGAAGCAAAAGTGCAATAGTTTGTGTCAGCTAAGCTTACGTTGGCTGTAAATCAGGCGTGCTCAGATAACAAAAACAGTAATTAACATGTAAAACTAACTATTAAATATTTGGAAGCTACAGTCAACGTCTCTGCTAGTTATTTGTCTATTCTCAATACTTCATTGAATTGCAGGTGAGTTTTTTTTTTATTCCCATTGCCAAAAAAAAATAATAGTAATAAAAGTAATTTTGTATTTTATTTTAAAATAAAAATTTAAATAAAAAATATTGTTAAATGTGAAATGTACCTGCACTATATTATATTCTGTATTCCAGAACAATGCATTTTGAACCAAAGCAAATATGCAGTTAAATGTGATGTCTATTAATTAATTATTTATGTGAATTATTAGTGACTATAATGACATCTAATTTCTGAAAATATTGAACTTTGTTGTCTATTTATTGGAAGGGGGCTTTTCAAAATGCTGTTAATGTTTTTTGTTGTTTTCTCCTTGACCCCCTTTTCATTGCAGTTACCTAATTTACCTTTGTCCTATAGCATTTATTTTTCTCTTCTGCACACCCTTGTTTGAGTGACAGAACAGGTTAAACTTTCCCCTGCATTTTGGTTATCTGTTACTGCTAGCCAAGCTGAGATATACTGCTCCTATCTCCTGTCACTGCTGTCCTCACACAGACTCAGAGCACAGTCTTCACCTCTGTGCCAACAAAAGATAAGAATTGATTTGACAGATGAGCATACCTCCCAACATTTCAAATGGACTAAGAGGGACACTTTAGTTTTAGGGGTGTGAGTGGGGGCGTGACCAGGGCTTGGGCTGCTCTGAGAAATTTTAGTAATAACAATTTATACAACAAAAATGAAATTTAAAACAACAAAAATGTATCTCATTTACACAGACTGATTTCTAAACACATTTATTATAGCATAAAGACACAATAATGGGAGTATTATATTGCATAGCTCTGTCGTGCACTTAGACACACCAATAATATGAAGCTCCTAGAAAATAGGGACATTGGGACTGAAAAAAGGAGAGGGGGATTTGGGCCCAAAATCGAGACTGTCCCTCTTAAATAGGATGGGAGATATAGGGGAGGAAAGGACTGTTTTTAATTTTTGGTCTTACCCCCTTTATTAAGCACTTGTGTAAAGCACGATTGCCAGGGTCTGCACCCATACACGACTACAACCATTACAAATGAGATTGGTTAATTGCAAATTAATTTCATTTGCAATGACTGTGCTATCTTACCAGCACTGGTTCTGCTGAGCTCCTCCGCTAGCCCCTTGCACAGCACGGCCGATAGGTAGATCTACAGATTTGCTGTATGAGAGCAGCGCTCTGGAAGTGGTCCCTCCTGGTCAGAGACTGGAATTGGGCATTCCAAGGATTCTGTTGTAAGGATTTTGCAAGCAGTTCACTGGACCACCAAGGAGACCACCAGGGAGACCGCTGGACCATCAGGAAAAGAAGATAAGAGCCCCCCTCACTGCAAAAAGGGAAGCAGGAGGCTTAACAGGGAAACAACCTCCCCACATCGAATCTTCTCTTTCTCACAACTCACCCTGTCACAAATCTCCCGCACATAGGCAAAAGAGAGAACTGGGGGCACACCTGGAACATGCATTTTGCAGGAATGGTGCTGCCATAGAGTACCTAGATAAAAGAGGGAACTGGTGGCACACCCAGAACATGCAGAATTTATGGAAAATACAGATTCAGGAACAGTGTACACATAAAACACAGTTTTAAATTTTACAAGGCTACTTAAAATCCCCTATCTCAGCAATGAAATATGGCCATATTGTGTTAAACTCACCACTATGCCACAATACCTCTGTACTAATTTGGCAACATATACAATATACATATATACAGTGGTACATAGGAATATATATATATACACATATATATATACACATATGAATATATATATATATATATATATATATATATACACACACACACACACACACACACACACACACATATATACAATTTGTAGGGGTTTTGCACTCCAGCTTTCCTCCTTGTAATTGCCCGGTGCTCAGCTGCACGAAAATACAAACTCCATAAAAAAGCCACTACAATGAACTTTCCTCAGGACATGTCTATATATCCTGAGTGACATGTCCTGAGGAAAGTTCATTGTAGTGAACTAAAATGTTGACTGTTTGGATTAAAAGCCTTTATTTTTTTCTACACAAGTCCTTGAGTGCTGGCTTTTTTATGGAGTTTATATACACACACACACACACATATATATATTGTATATTGGGCAATGTATATGTAAGAGGATTATCCCAGATTGCACCGTTGCAATCTATAATGAATGCGGCAGCAAGGCTCATTTTCCTGTCCGCTCGCACCTCCCACGCCTCCCCGCTCTGTCAGTCCTTGCATTGGCTCCCAGTTAGATATAGGGCTCAATTTAAAATTCTGGTGCTTGCTTACAAGTCCCTACATAATGCTGCTCCAACCTACCTATCCTTCCTAATACACAAGTGTGTCCCGTCTTCTGTCCGTACTCCCACCTCTAATGCTCGCCTCCAAGACTTCTCCAGGGCTGCACCTCTTCTGTGGAACTCCCTTCCCTCCTCCATAAGAATTTCACCCAATCTCCACTCATTCAAAAAAACTCACTTCTTCAAGAAAGCTTATCAATTAAACTGTTAGCAGGTTTTCATCCACCACCCTCCATGACTCCTCTCCTGCAACTGTCAAAAATTACCTATTAAGCCCTCAGCGAATACTTTTCTAACATCTTACTTCGTACCCCTACTTATACCCCACTCCCTCTAGAATGTAAGTTAATTGAGCAGGGCCCTCCACCTCTCGGTTCCTGTACGTTGAGTTGTCTGGTTACAATTAAATGTCTGTTAGTCCACCCTTTGTACAGTGCTACGGAATCTGATGGCACTACATAAATAATAAAATAATAATAATTTTAGATTATGTGAGGAAAAATGTCTATTTTATGTTGAGAAATGTTATTTATTTACAACTGTTTTCCTATCAGTAACCTCATTAATTTGTAAAAAAAATAATAAAAAAAATCCATTAAATACTGTGATATCTAGGCATACTAAAACTGAAAAAAATACACTTAAAAATTACTTTCCAGGACACCCAAAAATATTGTGGGGGTGTTTTTTCTGCAAACCACATGGTAGTGAAGAAGTTAAAGAGATCTATATAGTTGCTAGCAATTTTTCTAGTACAGTGAAATTTGCTTTTCTTAATTTTAATCAGATTGAAGTTATTTTAATCATGACAGATTTACTTTAGTTCATGGCTGCCTTGTCCATTTTCAGACATCATTACTTTTATCTAAGAGATGAGAGTTATATAAATTTTTTGTCTCATCTGTAATTCCCATTCCTGACACTGAATTTATTGTCACATCCCATTTCCATGATAGCTGACCATTGGTTGACATTGATTCCTGACTGTATTACATGACAGGCACACAGTCGGATTTGCCGGCATATGCGCTAACCTTACCCAAACCCCCATTAAAACACGGACACAGGTTATACTGTAATTAGTCCACAGCTTTATTAAATTATTAATAAAATAATTAAGGAATAACAAATGGGGTCATTGCCAACAAATCTTAATAACGTTAACATCCCCCATATACATAACATACCCCTAGCAATGACCACACAATAATAACAATAGATAACAATCTAAACAACATGTTAACACAGAAACTGGCCGCCCAATTTGACCACATTTCCACCAGGTTAAATTGTAGGGGTGTACTGAGACACCGCTACCCACCATATCGATTGTAGGGGTGTACCAAGACACCGCTACCCACCATATCCATTGTAGGGGTGTACCAAGACACCGCTACCCACCAGTTCCAGTGTAGGGTGTACCAAGACACCACCACACCCCCAGGTTCGGAGCCACCGACGGGCTCAAACCTACCAACCACGTGCAACACTGACAATCCACACTAAACCTCAGGATGCCCACTTTCTCCTCCATCTACCCTCCGATTTAACCAGGCCATTCCCCGCCACAGCTCAGGACTTGACACCTAAAGCTCCTGAGCGACCCCCACCACACCGGAATAAGGCCTGTTGAATGCCTTCCTGAAGGCCCAATTTAAACAGATCACACCTTACATCCGAAAATGTACCCCATCCCACCTGGAGTACCCAGGGAGCTTTCCTCCCAATTCGTTGTGTCTCACTGTTACACCGCCCCCACATCTGATAAATACCGCCATCAATTTTTTATTAAGTCGTCCTCGACACCCAGCTACCACGGCCGGGTACGTAGTATGTCTCCAATGTAACCGAGGAACCATCTCGGACCGCACCACCACCACACCCGTGGCCAGCTCCCATAGCCGGTCCACCTCCCTCTGCCTCCACCTGATTAATTCCTTTTCCAGGACCATGCCAATATCCAGAATGTCCTGGACAGTACCCCTTGTTACCTCCCGGAAAATTTTCTCCCCTAATGTCACCAAAATCCCCGAAAACCAAAACCACTCCTGCTCCACCAATTCCAAAGGAAAGTCCAGTTGCGTTTGAACCGAAACGCGGCTCCCATCTGTGCCCCTTAGATATAAGAATGACCCACCAACCATGTCACCAAACCTGAAACGAAAGTAATTAGCGACAAGGCATAGCCCCAAACACAAACCCATACGTCCATAGCCATTAAACCAAATAGACTGGCCTGAAACAGGACTTAAACCGTACTGACTCCCACCTGCCTAAACGTTTCCCTAGGTCCTCACTTAAAACCAGGCGGGGCGCCTCTGTTACCGCCATCATCCGGGAAGAATGGGTCCCAAAGTGCCCGGGATCCAAACCCAACATTGTCAAACCCCTCCGAACAAACACCTGCGGGAATTGAATCGTGACAGCACCGATCTGTCCCCTTTTACCAGTAAGCCACCCGGGATGTCCGGGCAAAGCTCCAAGTAGCATGATGCGCTTAACACCGGGCGTACCCCTGACCCCGGCTGGGAATATAGCTTTACCAAACCTCCTTTACCAGACACATCCGTTCTTGAACAACCCTACTGAATCGTTACCTTAACCGACTGAGGTTCGACAACCGAGTGTAGAACCCCCCAACACCTGCCCGAAGGCACTCACCAGTTCCCCAATCCAAATTGCCCCAAGCCTCCGAGAAGGCCACTGCAAGCAAACTCACTGCAAAAGTAGAGTAATACACCACCAGGCGTTACCCAAGGAAACCCGCCGCCCGGCACCAACATATTTCATACCTCTCCGTAAGACCCGCGATGCCTGACGGACGTGACAACATTCCGTCACTTCCTCCCAATCGGTCAGTTTGAACCCTAACAACAATGCTGCCATGCTCCTGTCCAACGCTGAACGAACAAACGGCTTAGGAACCACAGCAAGGTATCCCTTCGCCCCTCCTTTGACTGGCCCCTCACAGTGAAACCAACCACCTTGTCCCACATATCTCAAACGTTCACATAGGCACTCCCTGTGCCATAGGATTCTGTATCGATCCTCCAAGCATGGCTTCTCGAGCTGCCACATTTCCTCCAGACCGGACTGTCCCTCCTCCCGCGCCCCCTGGGGCCGCCATTCGCAGCTTGTCCCCTTGTGCGCGAGCCAAGTAACCAGCCCCTACCTTCCGCCAACCAGGCACGTGGCGTGCCTGCACCCGATACCTGAACAGTGATATGAATCGCCGCCATCGGCGTACCTCCTGAACCGAGGACCCGGCTAGATGGTAAACCACATGAACCCCGCCGTATTGTGCGTCAATTATGGCTTTTTATCCCTTAATACTTCACCTTTTAGAGCCACAGCAACTCCCAATGGAAATAACTCAAAAGATGCCAACTTCGAATAAGAGGACTTACCTTTCATGCCTCCCACCACCGCTCTGCGCACCACCTGCCTTCCAGGTATGCCCCAGAATCTATGTTCCCAGAGGCATCCGTGAACAACTCGATACCACCCACAAAGGCTCCACAAGTAGCCTTCGCCATGAAATGGCTATCGACCCAGCCTCGCGACTAACCCAACATGCAACTTGAAACTGTCTTATGAACAACTACGATTTCTCAGTGACCTTCTTGGACCTGCGAACCTTCAGCCTGAACTCCTGAAGTGCAGTCAACTGAACCTCAGGCAATCGACACTCTCCTACCACCGAAACAATTTCCAGCCCAAGCAAAGACGTGCGGTAGGATTCCCTCGACCGTAAGGTATGTCCACAACGGCCCGGCCCAGCCGAGCCCACACAGCAAGCTATCTTACAGATAATGTACTAAGGAACCCCTTTCTGATTCCTCTTTCACCTCCCACTCCCAGACGGATCCAACTTCCCGAAGTAGGAACATGAATGGAACTGCCCCTTGGCAAGTAGAGGTTACCAATAGGAACCTGCAAACATGCAACCCAAAAGATGGAAGGGTCGCCAATAATCGAACGCGTCCTGTTCCCCCAAACCAACTCGATGGCAAGGCCTAATGATGCCAACGATACAGAACAGTTCCGCGGCAATGTCCTCATTTACCGATGCCCCTTTCGGGTGCGATAAGTTTATCGGACGGAATTTGCTCGCCCATTTCTAGGGGACCACCACCCATGGAGACACCCACATGTCCGCTAATGGCGCGGAAGTTCCCCCATGGACTTGATATTCGCCCACCACTTTTCCTGGTCCCTCGACTTTGAATGGAATAGCGTTAACCCCCTCAACAATCCCAGCCATAAAACTAGCGCATTCATGGGAGGCTTACTGCCTTAGCCACAGCAGCCACAGCAGCTGAAGCCCTGCCGAGTACCCATCCTGCCTTAGGTTTTCCTTTCCTGACGCGTCAGTTGACACCGTGACTCCCACCGCCTCCGGAACACCCGTATCGAAGCCTACCCGATGGTCCCCAGTTGCACTGACCTTTCTTCTGTCCAGCCCGGAAAGAGCGCATTTCCTGCACCATCATTAGGAACCACCCCTTTTAAATCAATGAACTCCTCGAGCGGAAGACAGGAAATTTTTTATTATTTTTTTTTCAAATCCCCTTTATCAAATATTATCCTCCGCCTTCATGTGCCCGCCCAATGTCCCCGCGAAGGACACGTACCCATTTTGTTGCGCCGCACCTGGAATGTTGCCACACATCTAACTGTTCTCCTGCCCCGTCAGATGTCCCCGGTACCGGTACACCGTATTCCCCTTCCCTTACCCGGCATGCGCGCTCTGGTGACCCCACCCTTCCGCACCGCGGGGACGGCCCCTTTTTCCTTGATCATATCTCTAAAATGATTTTTGCAATTTAAAAAAGTGTGGTGTGTTTATTGACTCACCACCTGAACCCCCGTCTGCGCTGTCCTTCCATCCTCCTTGCCAGGCTCTGGAGTATCCGGTGGATGCTGACTCCTGTCCGCGCTGGTCCAGCCTCAAGCCCGTAGAAGTAACACTCCTCGACCTGCTCCTCCATCTCTCATCCGACCTCCCGCTGCTGCTGTGCCTGTCATTGTCGTTGCGCTGCTCCCTCCCGTACTCACACCTGCTGATGCTCCTCCTGTGTTCCTTTTCCTGAGAACGCCCCCCAGGGGGCTCCTGCTTGCCTCTGTGCCTTACGTCCATTTCCACCCGTCCATGTCCTCTCTTCTGCCCTCTGCTTGCAGTAACTGGCCTCTCCCCGGCCGCCTCATCCACTTGTGGCTCCTTTAATCCTGGTTGCTGGCCTTCCCCTCCATAGCTGCTCTGCTGCGCCTGTGAAGACTCCGCCTGCTGCTTTCACTATCCCCTTCCTTCACCTCTGACCTGACCCTGGCCCCATCCAGGGCCGCCTCTGTCTGTGTCCCGCCGACCTGGACCCCCCACCCCCGCCTGCCCATTGGGGGCGGGGGGGACCGCTTTTACACTGCTGGGCCCTTGCATCATTCCCCCCGTCCCTCAGGTATGCCACCAGGGGCAGACTCACCAAGACGCCTCTTGCTGCTCTCCCTGCCTGGCGGCCATCATGTCATGCTGGATTCCGCTGTCCTTTGTGCTTTCCCGCCCCCCCCCCCGCCTTATTGCAGTGGGCGCTCTTCCTGTGCGGCCTCATCCTGACCTGCCACCTTGCCTGACCGGCACCGAACATACGGCGCCAGCCGCTCCCTCCAACTCCTGCCTGCTTTCCGACCTCATTTTCAGCCTTCCCCTTGCCGCCTCCTGACAGGCTCACGGGCTGCCGCTGGGGCATCCTCGCTCTCCTTGCTGGCCTCTGTTCCACCGCCGCGTGAGGGGGGGGGAGGAGGGTAGCAGAAGTGCTCGGGGCCCCCCAGCTGCTCCTGCAGCCACCAGCCACGATTCTGCCACAACCTTTGTGACCAGGATGGTGGCTTGCTTGGAGTTCTGTCTGAGGCTGATGGGAGTGAGCATGCAGCAGCAGCTCACTCCAGCCTCTCCTGTACCTCCATGCTGCCTCCTGCTCCATGCTGCCTCTGTTCTTCTATGCTGCCTCCATGCTGCTGATGGGAGTGATCATGTAGTAGCAGCTCACTCCAGCCTCTCCTGTATCTCCATGCTGCCTCCTGTCTCAGTACTGCCTGTTCTTCTATGCTGCCTCCATGCTGCTGCCTTCTCCCTCCAGGGCAGGCAGCTTTCACAACTGACAGGTAAGCTTAGGTTCAGTTAAAATGGCCACTTCCTATAATGGCTGGTATAACTACTCCCCTTATGGCTCCGTCCTACCCAGCATGCTAGCTGTCACTAACTTCCTGTGGCTGCTATGCCTACCTCCTGGCTCTGTCAAGGCCTATTCCTCTTAGCTGCGCTGATCCATGGGCTACAGATTCGTAGTCAGAGTCACAACCCATTTCAAATTGGCATCTCACTCTGATTCCTGCCTCTGACTGTAGCGCAACACCCGATGAAGAGCCGGTCTGTCAGGTTATCAGGAGAGGTGAGGAAAACCACAAGACATATACACAGAATAAGACTTGGTTCCCTTTTCAATATTACAATTGCAGAGAAAACAATAAAACGTGAATGTCTGCTTAGAAGCACACTATATGAATTATTGATAGATGACTGAAATATGAAGGAAATACAATCTAAAAAAAAAACATTAAATGAGTAAGTACATTAAATGATTCAATGTACAAGTCAGGTAACACTTCAGTTAATGGATTACTGAAGTATCTCATCTAAAAAGCTTGTAATACCACAAGTAACGCAATAAACTTGTAGTGCAGCCTCACAAATTGTTTTGTATCCACATTCCTTTCCAACAATGGGAGGTATGGAATCGGGATGGGGTGGGCGCTTGCTGAGCAAGTGTAGCCAATTATGTGATCCATGCCAATGCCCATAACGTATGGTACCGCCTGGAAACGGGCAGGACCACCCACTGACAGCTCCCATTCGGCCCCCAGCATTCAGGACCATGCAGGGAGTGTAAATGAAGCGTCCTAGTACGCAATGCACCGCACAAGCACATCTAGTTATGCGCTCGCACTGTGCATTCCAGGGATAGTTCCCTGGTCTCCTCAAATGTAAGACACCAGGAAACTGAAGTGGGATGGTAGGACATTATTATTATTTTATTATTAATAAAGCGCCAAATTCCATAGCGCTGTACAATGGGACATGATCCCCAACTCAGAACTGTCACACTGAAAGTTGGACTGTTGGGAGGCTGGTATCCATAGATGAGAGATACATAATTTTTAACATCTTCCCTTTCAAGCACACGTATGTTTGGGTGAAAGGCAAAAAGCACAGAACCTGCCATGGGCAAAAAACATGTAAAAATAAGAGTAGATGAGCATGCAATCTCCTACAGCTCAGAGCTATTAAAATAGCTAGTAAAATTGTAGAAGTATGTTATCTCTCATGATGCTCTAGCCATCGGTGCTATGCAAATACTATAATTTACATCCTGGATGACATTGAAAAGTAGCTCTTTGTCCATGTTAAAATCCACACTTGTAAAGCTGTTCTATGTGCTACCTTTCTAGGGTGAGCAAAATGGATAAATTTTTCACTTAAAACTCAACGATATTTGAGTAAAAACTGTCCAAAGTGCTCAAAGCATTAGAATTGTAAAACAAAAATTTCTTACAGTTTAAAGTGAAAACTGACCCTTTCATGGACAGTGGATAGCATATAATGTGCATGTAATTTAAATCACATGCAAAGTCCATAGTACAGCTATAAAAAAAAAAAAAAAAGCAATAAACAAGGACCAAAGTATCCAATGATCTACTCGCTGCAAAATCTCGTGGTCACTACTCTATCGTAATTCTCCTTGACCTGTCTGCGGCTTTTGACACTGTTGATCATCAACAGATTCTTCTCATCTTCTGCAATATCGGTCTACAAGATATTGCTCTCTCCTGGTGCTCCTAATACCTCTCCCAGCGCTCTTTCAGTGTTTCTTTCTCTGGCTCTTCTTCTCCCCAACTCCTCTCTGTTGGTGTCCCCCAAGGTTCAGTCCTTGGTCTCCTACTGTTCTCCATCTATACTGCCTCCCTTGGTAAACTCATTAGCTCCTTTGGCTTCCAATATCATTTCTATGCAGATGACACGCAAATCTACCTGTCCTCTCCTGATCTCTCCCCATCCCTCTTGACTAGTGTCTCTGACTGCCTCTCTGCTGTTTCTAACTGGATGACTGCCCACTTCCTTAAACTAAACTTGACCAAAACTGAAATTCTGGTCTTTCCTCCCTCAAGTGTTGTTACTCCTTGTGTCTGTCTCCCTCCAAGTCAACGGTGCTACCATCAGCTCCACCACGCAGGCTCTCTGCCTAGGTGTTCTCTTTGACTCCGACCAATCCTTCAAGCCTCGTGTTCAATCTATCGCCAAATCCTGTCATTTCCATCTCAAAAACATTGCGCGCATCCGCCCCTACTTAACGCCAGATGCGACTAAGGTGTTGGTCCATTCCACTGTCCTTTCTCGCCTTGACTACTGTAATCCGCTTCTCAGTGGTCTTACGTGCTCCCAACTTGCAACGTTACAGTCCATAATGAATGTGGCAGCGAGGCTCATCTTCCTGTCCGCCCTCACCTCCCATACCTCACCCTTCTGTCGGTCCCTACATTGGCTTCCTATAAAATATAGAGCTCAATTTAAAATTCTGGTTCTTGCTTTCAAATCTCTACATAATGCTGCTTCCACCTATCTATCCTCCCTTATACACAAGTATGTCTCGTCTAGGCCCTTACGATCTGCTGAAGACTTACGTCTATCTTCTGTCCGCACTCCCACCTCTGATGCTCGCCTTCAAGATTTCCTGAGGGCTGCACCGTTCCCGTGGAACTCGCTTCCCTCCTCCGTTAGATGCTCACCCAGTCTCCACTCCTTCAAAGAATCGTTAAAAACCCACTTCTTCATAAAAGCATATCAATTAAACTGTTAATAGCTCCTGACTGATTCCTCTTCTGCAACTGTCACTAGTCTAATACTCTCCTTACCTTTTTGTGTCATTTTACCCCATTCCCTCTAGCATGTAAGCTCATTGAGCAGGGCCCTCAACCCTTCTGTTCCTGTGTGTCCAACTTGTCTGGTTACAACTACATGTCTGTTCGTCCACTCATTGTAAAGCGCTGCAGAATTTGACGGCGCTCTATAAATATCATAATAATAATAAAAGGAAAATGCTAAGACCTTGGGGGCCCGTGGATTCTGCAGATCATGTCCAGGATCGATTCAGTCGAACCTCTGAGACCGATACACATGGACAAAGTGGCCTATGATCTGGTCCATTCAGAAAATCTGTCCCTACTGGACAAAGGCGCAGTGGAGAGGGCGACAGGACCGCCTCATTGCTTGAGCAATATCTTCCTTGTAAGGAAGAAGACGGGGAACTTCCACCCCGTTATCAATCTGCGTGCCCTCAAAGCATATGTCGTCTACCGGCATTTCAAGATGGAGGACATCCATCTGCTCAGGGACCTGCTTCGCGAGGGTGATTGGTCGGCCCAACTGGATTCACTGTGAGGACAGGTGTTACCTTCAGTTCTCCTGGCTGGGACACATATGGCAATTCACGTGCCTGCCATTCGGCCTCAGCTTTGCCCCTTGGTGCTTCACCAAGCTGCTGAAACCAGTCATGGTGACCATGAGAGCCAGGGGAATCAGATTGATCGTCTATATATCCTGGCCAATTTGGCAGGCATTTTCCCTTTGTCTGTTGGAATGCCATGACCCTTCCAAGGTTTCTTACGTGCGGAGCCCATAACTCTGGAGCGGAGGGAGTCGTCCGAGTCAGATCCTCTAGCACCTGAGGTGCCGGGTGCGGGATCCTGAGGGGCCATAAGAGTGTCACCGTCCAAGACCTCGAGAGCCTAGGGTAACGAGTCCGCTATGGTGGCAAAAAGCCAGGCCTGGAGGCTTTCAGGGACACCGAAGTCTGCTTCGTCAGTCATGACTGTATCACTGAAATAGAAGTAAAACACTGTAAGTGTGGTACTTGAGGAGGCCAGCTGGGGGTCACCCAGTGTGCAATAGGGTCACCCAACAAGCACTAAGAAGGGTTTCATTTTTAAATAATACCCCTGTAATTATGGGGCATCTTATCATACAGATCCCCAGGAAACAGGGGATCGGACATCAAGGAAGTGGAGTTAGCAGACATAACTGGATTCAAAGGGAATTCTGTTTTTTGCTTTTTTTTAATAACCGTATTAAATTGAACTTATAAATTGTAGGAGTATTTCAAGATTATTTTTGACTAGTGATATGTGCTAGAAATCTACCCGACTCTAATTCTTAATGTATTGAGTTAAACTTGAACTTTTTGATAATTTGAATACAGGAACATAACCCTTGGACTGTTTATCTTGTTCATCAGCCTGAGCATTTTTATATTGTGAGTGCTGGATTCAAAGTACTTTACATGAATGAGAGCAACAGACAAAGGTTGAACTTTAAAGCAGTACAGTCAGAGAATAACGCACAAGATTTATATATCAGTTTGTATTTAAGAGGTAATCACACCCTGAAATTAGTCATCTCATTTCTGCATGCATATACCTGAATGTTTGTATGAACCTGTGTTGCTTAATAAAGAGAAATAAAAAAGGCTTATAATTTGGCTTTCCCAACAGCCAACAGAGTAAAATAAAGAGCCTTAATAACTTTTTTTCTAAAAATTGCCTTGATTTTATAAGCTTTCCAAATGAAATAAATACTGTTTGAAATTATTTGTTTACAGATATCACCATTCAAAACTACCGTATATACTCGAATATAAGACGAGTTTTTCAGCACATTTGTTGTGCTGAAAAACCCCACTCGTCTTATACTCGAGTCAGTGTCTGTATTATGGCAACTTACATTGCCATAATACAGACCAGGACCTCTGGGCTCATTACAAGCCCGGTGGTCCTGTTGGGGGCTGGCAGAGAGCTGTAACTTACCTTTCTTGCAGCTCCTGTCAGCTCCCTTCTCTCTCCTCCGGTCCGGTCAGCTCCCCTGCATGTCTCGCGAGACCCGCGGGGTCAGAGCGTTGCCACGAGTTACCGTGGCAACGCTCCAGGCGGCACTCACACCGCGATACTTGCAGGTTAGGAGAAGGGAGCTGAGCGGACCGGAGGAGAGAGAAGGGAACTGACAGGAGCTGCAGGAAAGGTAAGTTACAGCTCTCTGCCAGCCCCCCTCCTACACAGCCCATGCCACTGGACGACCAGGGAATGAGAGCCCCCCTCCCTGGCCAGCTAACAAGCAGGGAAGGAGGACAAATAAAAATAAATAAAAATGTAAATAATAATAAAATAATAATATTAAAAAAAAAATTAAAAAAATATTAATATAACAAAATTAATAATAATAATTAAAAAAAATATATATAAATGCCCACCCCCCACCAAGGCTCTCCATCACATACACACACACTCTGCATCACACACACACTGCATTCATACACACACTGCACTCATACACACACACACTGCACTCATACACACACACACTGCATTCATTATATACACACACTGTAAATAAATATTCAATTAATATCATTTTTTGGGGATATAATTTTATTTAGAAATTTACCAGTAGCTGCTGCATTTCCCACCCTAGTCTTATACTCGAGTCAATACGTTTTCCCAGTTTTTTGGGGTAAAGTTAGGGGTCTCGACTTATATTCGGGTCGACTTATACTCGAGTATATACGGTATGTAGATTTTTGTAGATAAATCATTTGGTAAGTTGTTCCAACTGTATTGAGTCATTTGGAACTCTATTACATCCAACTGTACTGAATCATTTTATTAAATCAATGCCAAATTTAGTTTAATTAAGACAGGCAATTTTAAAGTCTGGCGTAACAAAACAAGTTGAGAGAGGTATTCCCTGCAGTGCACTTTCACCTTACAGATTTTGCTTTTAGACTAAAAATGGTTAACTTTTGATAATGATCACAATCAAATGATTTATCTACATTCCAATAGAATTTGGTGGTGACTTTTTTTAGATTAAAAAAAAAAGCAAAAACTTTGCAAATGATCCAAGAGATTGTGAGGATTTAAAAAAAAAACTTATTCAAAAATATTAATCGAGGCCAATGTTATATGTCTTTCTCCTTCTCAGGATGTTGCCCTTGGTAGACCATCTCCTGGAATTTTCTCATTTGGAAAACACACCATTCCGGGTCTATGCAGTCACAGCCCTGCTCTTCCTCTTTATCAGTCGCACAATACTAAAGGTGGTGAGCTTCTTCTATGCTTACAGCGTCAATGTATGGAGGCTCCGCTGTTTCCCAGAGCCCCCAAGACGTAGCTGGCTTTTTGGACATTTGGGAATGGTAAGTGCATTTTTACCATGCAAAATTACCCAGTGAAATGTAATTTACTCATTAAGCAGTGAGCATTATCATTTATTTAGATAGTGCTGACAAAATACACAGTGCAGGATACATCAAGTTTAGTGCATAAAACAGCATTACAGACAGAAGAAGACTGATACAGTAGGCCTAATTAGGTAAGGTAAGTGGAGAGTTTATAAACTCAGCTAGTTTGCCCTCATTTGTTCACCAATGCCCTGTAAGGTAACGAGTCATGTTTACTCTGCCAGTCTTTTTTAAGTGTATCAATAAAGGACATAACATGACCCCTTGTGATTCGTTTTGAGGCTTGTTAAAGGATAGGTTTGTCAAGATCTTGTAAATTGTTTATTACAATTACAAAAATCCCAGTTTGAAGCTCTTTCTAATTTTGCAACAAATTAACAAATAATTCCTTCTCGATCCCAGAATGGCAGTCAGATCTCTCCTTGGACCAAGAACCTGTTAATCAACATATTAAATATTCATCTAGGTGCGGTTTAAACATCTGTACAGACTCCACCTATTCAGGCAGAGAATACCACATTCTTATTGTTTTTACTGTGAAGAACCCTCAACTTTGCTCAACACAAAATCTGCTTTCTTCCAGTCTAAATTGGTGACATTGTGTCCTATTTATAGTCCTGTTTATGAATGCATTTCCAGACAATGTTTTGTATTGGCCCAAAGTATATATGTATAATGAAATATCCCTTCTAAACTAAAAAGGTTTAAATTTGTTAGCCTTTCTTCATAACTAAAATGTTCCATTCCACTTATTTTGTAGATTTCCTCTACATTTTTTCTAGTGCCATGTTTATCTTTAGAAAAGGTACCCAACATTGTACAGCATATTCAAAGTGTGATCTTGTCATTGATTTATAAAGAGGAAAAATTTAATTTTCATCCCGAGAATTAATGCACCTTTTTTTTTTTATATAAAACAATACCTTACTGCTTTTAGCAGCTGACATTGCAGATTGGGGCCTTGCTTTTTTCTAAAACAATTCCCAAATCCTTCTTGTGTGTTATACTTAATTCACTACTGTTTAGGGTGCAAGTTGCTTGTGCATTCTCTATCAAGAAAGTGCATAACTTTGCATTTATCTACATTAAAGTTAATTTGTGTTCGGGGCAAATAGCCGTATATGGAGTAAGGTTCCAGCATAAGCGTAGGATAGTATAAAGGGAGCAAGTCGGTTGTGGTGTGCCGAGACCGACGATACGGTAGGCCTGTAAATAAAGAGGGCAAAAAGAATAATCAAAGATTTAATACAGTCAACAATATATACAAATTAACCAGACATTTCCTTAAATGCATTACGGTATTTAATTCCTTGAAGGATTTTGAAGGTAGGAATCTAGGACCGCAACTGGACACCATTTGTTGTGGGTAGGATAGTATGTTATCTCTACTGTTGGTGCGTGTTGACTCGTTTCGGAATGTGGTAGAGCCAATAGGTAATGATATATGTGTTTACATACGTGGGATCGTTGAAGACAATGATCTGTCTGAGTGGTGGTTATGGTAGTGGATTCTCTGGCCTGAGAAAGGCATAAAAGGCAGTGTGCATGGCTGGTAATGGCCAACTTGGTAGTATAATTGAATGGTTGTAGCTCTAATAGGTCCGATAAGGATGGAAAAGTTGGATGGTAATCTCTCAGAGGAACGTGGGGGGATGGATTCCTGAAAACCTCTGAGTATATTCTTGTCTGGTATGATAGCATGAAGTTATGGTAGTTTTGGCCATAGGTTATCCTGTGTTGTTGAATGCCTGTAAAATATATAATTAATGGTGTGTGCGATGGTTTTAGTTTAAAGTGGCAAAAAATGAAGCAAAACCTAGGAGAAATGTTATGACACAGGTTGAGCTGTGTCGTGTTCCAATGAGATTCTTTAAAGCCAGGTGAATAGCTGTGTTATGTGTTCTACAAGTATGGGATGAAAGTGCTAGGTGGGATAGTGCATGCTATGCTGCATGAGTATGTCTAATCCATGATTTTGTCTCTGGAACGAAAGAGTGGCCGTGACTGTATGGGTGGCTGTAGGAAGCGTATGATGAACATGCCTGGAATATAAATGAGACAATTGTCGGCAGGGATGTATACCCCCGCCTGGTACATGAAAGTAAAAGAAATGTGGTAAGTGGCCAACCAAGTGAGTTCCCCAGCAATACCATGATCGTATGGATGATGAGTGGCATTTGTTGATGATATGACATGTGCTTAGTTGTCTGAGTAACAACGGATTGATGACCCTGACCATGATTTACCCCATGCCACAGCAGCTGCTTTTAGCGGGGAAAGGATTGCCCATTTTATGCCATGTAAGTGCCAGTTTGTAGGGTAGATGGTAGCCGTTTACTGTGTTGATGATATTGGTCTTACTTAACGAAGCTTCAACCCATGCTTGAGTGATAGCTGTAAAGGTAGATCAATGGTGTGTATAGTAAGGAAACTCCTCGGAGGGTATGAGGGAGTTGAGACTTGGGGTAGCGAAGGTGTGTGGTGCCAATAAGTCTATGGTTAGTCTTTGTTTAAGGGAAGATTCCCTTGTGACAATACCAATGTGTTTGTGTTTGTGCCATGCTGTAAATGGTGGAGATTGGAAAACCAAGTAAAAACCCCTCTGCAAATCTTGGCTATGAGTGTGTTTACAGCCGCGGTTCTGTTGTGCTGACTGTAAGTGAGGGCATGCTATATTCCTTGAGGGTTTATTTATGATACCTGTATGGGAGCCCTTTGAAGCTCCATAGCCTTAGTAAATCTACTACAAGTCTGGAAGGGTGATGAGTCAGTAGTGTTGAAAATGCATTGGTGTGTACAGATAGTTAGTACGTTATTTGTAAGTTGTATTGGGACACATGGTTTGTCATGTGCCCTGAATGATTTTAACATATATGCAACAGTCTATATGCAATGCATCTACTAATACCAATTGTCTCTGGTAGTTCAGAGGTGCTGGTACCTGGAGTCTGAGAGTGCTTTTCCGTTTGTTTGGGAGAAAATCCCTTCTGTATGGGTACCTGCACAAATAAGCATCTCTACATATTCCAAATGCCAACACAACCAAGGGATGGTCAGTTCCCGATTTTCCTAGAATCCCTGGGTCTGACCATCATAGATACATCATACATATTTATGCCTTGTTTCCCCAATGTGCCGGGATCATATGTGCAGGGTTAACGTCTTGTACCAAGAACTGATTGTACCAGGTAACCGAGTTTCGGTTGGTGCTGGTTGTACAGTAGCGTGAGGCCCAGCCTTGTGAGGGCTGTGACCGACGCGAGATTGCCAGTCTCTCGTAAATTTTTTGGCTCATGAGTTTATGAGTGAGGCTAGCATGGCCTGGGTGTCACCTGAGTTGGTGTTGCTGGGCCTTCCCCTGCCTCCGTGTTGTCCATTGATGTATAGAGGAGTTTGAATAACTCTGCTTTCCTTGCTGTGGCAGGGTAGGGGATTTGTCGCCTCCTTAGGGCGGAGCCACATCTCCTCTGCTTGAAGGTGTATCACTTCTAGCCAGGGTGCCAGGAAGAGGTGATTCTTCACCATCTTTTTGAGAAATACTTAAATAACAATAAAGATTGCAATTATTATTTGTACCCAGGGGTCTTGTACTGGCTTGCTAGCTAAGCCGTAAGGCGAAACGATTAGGCTCTGTGTTTTTTGGTGACTGGTGAGGCCCTGCTAGTTGCCAAGTGGCTTGAGAGGCTCTATCTATGCTTGGCGCGAGGGGATTTTTTGTGGCCACCGAACGTTGTGGCAGGATGTTGGCCTCTCGGTGACAGTAACCAGAAAAATAGGAAGGGAAGTGACAGGTGAGGCCCTCTCTATGATACAATGCGAGGCGGCTAGCTCACGAGTGGCCCGAGGGGTGTATGCCTCTGTAACGGACTGTTTCTCTCACAAGAGGATAAAAACCGTTTAGGCAATAATCCCCTTTCCCATAGACCAGCAGCTACTGCAATCACCAATCTCCCGAACTCCAAACTGTACGAATCCCCAACTCCCGAACAGGAAACACACAAACCCTGGAAGCAGCCGAACAGGAAAAGCCCTAAGAACAGCTTACACTCCTGGCAATCGGCATACAGTCAAATTCCCCCAAAAAATGAGACGACACTTCACTTGGAGGGTTAAACAGGAACAACCCTGATTTATTCACACAACAGGCTTATAAAGGATTCTCCCATGCAAGGGAGGGATTTACAACAATTACACAATACACCAATCACACATGAGTTACCTCCCACAATGCCTCACAACCCCTCCCCTCTGGCCTGGAGATAATTGGGGAAGGAATCTAATTATCTCCCAGGACAGAGGCAAAACTCCATTACCCACATGGCAGACAAAAAGACAGTAAAAGACATAAAATTACATACGGATACATTTAGTACGTAAAACACACATTTCTACACATCCCCAGATAGCTTTGATCATTATTAGATGAATGGCACTCAGATCACACGAATAAGCCTTTCTGCAGGGAAAATAAATGGTTTAACCTACAGGGCCATAGTCCAAAGATAGCAGGCGAGCAACCAGGCTTCTCCAGTTCACAGTGGCGAGGTTGGTTTCGCCACAGCCTCCGAGTGTGAGGCGGGGTGTTGGCCTCGCGGGACCACTAACCGAAGCATAATGCAGAGAAAAAAAGGGGGTAATACCTATTGGGCCCTAGAACCCTAATTGCCAGTACACTATTACTATTCCAGGGAAGGTAGGAGATGGATAACTATGTGAGCAGGTGTACGTACCTGACAATCCGTATAGGTTTTTTAGTAGTAACTGTAACCTGAATGGATAAAATCGTATGGCATAAGGAAATATGGCAGAGACCAAGCTTATCTTAAAACATACAGTATATGTGAAAGTAAAGTGCCGTGATATGTAAATATTAAACATCATATCCATACTGGTTAAATATGTATCAATCTTAACCCATTAAGTGCCGTATGTATGTGAACCATATTACCAGTTACGTATATACAGATGCGTGTGCTACTGTGTAATAATATGTGTATTTATAACAGATGTTGATATACTGCTTGCTATGTGAATTGTTGTATGCCTTATTGAATGGTCAGTGAACATGGTGTTGCAAAATGCAAGTGCACTGGAGATCTGCCGAGTGCCCTATAGGTGGCAGTGTAGTTGATACTGATTGGTATGTGAAATGTTGTTTGTCTGTTGACCTACAGGGGTCAGTGTTTTGGTGTTTGTAAAACCCCATGAAAATTGTCAATGTACTTGACAGACCTGTAGGTGGCAGTGTTGATAGAACCACTGTTAGTCTTGATGTGAAATGTAAATTATTGTGAATTAAACCTGAAGTTGAGCCCGTGTTGGAGTTTAATTTATGGTTTATGGTTATGTTTAAAACAATCTTATGTGTAATTTATATTGGCTGGTAATTGTATATGACATGTAAAGACAGTTTTGCTGTTGACCAGTAGGGGTCAGAAATGCTGATTGTATGGTAAAATACCCTTTAACCCCTGAAGGATACATGACATGTGTGACATGTTATGATTCCCTTTTATTCCAGAGTTTGGTCCTTAAGGGGTTAATCCAAATGCAAGGTTAACGTGAGATTTTGAGAGTGACCTGTAGGGGTCAGTGTGGTTTATGTGAAACATTGTTCGTGAGCTATGCCCCAGCATTATAGTTGTATGACAGGGAAACAAACAGTGCCTGTTTGACAATATACAATAAGTAAACATAATAGCTTAATAACAGTCATTGTAACAAACCAAAGTTCTGTTCGTGGGTTGTAAACGCACGAAACGTGTGTGTTGTAGAATAGTAAATGCATGAACTAGTTCCCGTTTGGTAGAAAATTGCACGAACCGTGAGCCTAGTATGTCAGGGAAACAAAACGAAACGAGCAGTGAGATTCGAAATGCACGCACAGAATTGCCTATTATGTTTAGGCAATTGAAACAGAATGTGTTCCCGTTTGGGAGTATGCTAAAGCTCGAAATGAGCCAGTGACAGATATAAACAAGTGAATTTAAACGAATGATATGCATGAACATGCAATGGTTTTGGAACAGACTTAGACCAAACGCAGCCGTAAAGTGAGGACCGGACCTGTGCATGGTGCCGTGGGACTGATGCCTGGCGTAACGGGTAGGTCGACTTACGGTTTGTGAGTCACTTGGACACCATCCACAGCGATAGATTTAAGAAAGAAGGTGGTAAGCCGGAAAAGCCTGTGGCTGAATTCCTGACACAGCTCAGCTTAGAAAACCTCATGGAGTAATCAGGTAAAATGGCGTCTGGATGACCCGGAAGTGGAAATCATTCTGATGCTGACCTCAAGTGATATGAGTCAGGTAAGGGGTGTCCCTTATATAGGAGAGTGAATTAATTTAAGCCCCTCCCACAAATACAGGCCAAACTGCCTTAAAACCTGTCATTTGAGTCATAATCTATAAAAATCCTTCTGCATTAAAGTTATATCCTGCACACACTGTATTACCTTTCCTAGTTTTGTGCAATCTGCAAACTCTGACACAGAGTCTTCGAGACCAGCATGTGTTCTAGCACTCGGTCTCAATATTGATAACCTCAGTCTCACGGGCAGTGATCCGTCGTATGGAGCAAATAGTCTCCCACAATGTGTGTATGATCTTCTTAGCGACAGTGGAGATTGTGTCAGGAATAGATCAATCGTCTAACTCATTTCGTGCCTCTCAGGATCACTTCCACAGAGGCTCTCTGAGGGATCCAAACGTTACATAGTTACATAGCTGAAAAGAGACTTGCGTCCATCAAGTTCAGCCTTCCTTACATATGTTTTTGCTGTTGATCCAAAAGGAGGTAAAAAAAAAAAACTGGCCCCGAATATATTTGTATAATGTTATCATATCCCCTCTCAGGCACCGTTTTTCAAAACTAAAGAGATTAAATTTTTTTAACCTTTCTTCATAATTAAAATGCTCCATTCCTTTTATCAATTTTGTAGCTCATCTCTGTACTTTTTCTAGTGCCATGATATCTTTCATTAGAACAGGTGCCCAAAATTGCACCAGGTCTTACCAGCAATTTATAAAGAGGCAAAATTATATTTTCATCCCGAGAATTTATGCCCCTATTTATACATGACAAACCCATACTTGCCTTAGCAACTGCAGATTGACATTGCATTGGCTAAAAAGCAGAAATACTGATGATGTCATGAATGAGCAGATCGGGGGAGGGGCCAGTGTCAATGGAGGTTCGCAGCGCTGGATATAAGGTGAGTTTTAATTACTTTTAAGGAGGTGGAGGTAAGAAGAGCCACCTAAATAGTGGATTAAACCAAATAGGGTCAGGAATACATGTTTGTGTTTCTGACCCTATAGTGTTCCTTTAACATCTTTTCATTTAAATACATTCAACACTATCTGAATTCTTAAATTTTTAAGACTTTCTTCAAGCCCTACTGCTTCAAATAGTTTTGCAAGTATTTAACTAGACCTTGCCTCTAGTATTTAAAGGACCACTATAGTGCCAAGAAAACATACTCGTTTTCCTGGCACTATAGTGCCCTGAGGGTGCCCCCACCCTCAGGGTTCTCCTCCCGCCGGGCTGGATGCAGAGGAAGGGGTTAAACTTACCTCTTTCTCCAGCGCCGGGCGGGGAGCTCTCCTCCTCCTCTCCTCCCTCCTCTTCTCCTTCTCTTCGGCTGAATGCGCATTGGCCACTTTGAGTCTAAATTCAAATTACAAGTGTAATTCAGAATTTACCCACAAGATGACACCACATGATTACTTTAAAAAAAGAAAAAAAAATACATCACAGGGACAATATAGGCACAAAAACAACTTTAGCTTAACCCCTTAAGGATGGATGATGGACCCGGTCAATCATGCACTAAAATTAACCCCAGATCGTCACAGTGACGGCGATTGCGGTGTTAATGATGTTGCTGGGTGCCTACGAGTCACATCCAGTCACAGTGGTCACAATGCTGCTGGGATATCAGATCCGCCTCCCTCCACCTATGTTGGGTTTGTGAAGTGGAGAGAGACGGATCGTTGTTACTTTGTGTCCCTGTAGAGAATAAATTGTGTGAAGAGATTCCAAATCCCCTTTAGCCTTTGCTTTTAAAAAAAAATAACCATATCCCTGCTGATTAATCACAGTAATCAAAATACAGATCACAGTACTTCACTGTGATCTGTTTTTTTTTTTTTTTTTACCCTCGGGGGTTAAATTGGATTTTTTTTTGTAAATTTAGTTAAATTTTAACATTTTATTTTTATCAATTTGTGATTTAGTTAGTTGGGGTGGGTGGAATTTAGTGGGAATTGGGGAATTTAGTGATAAACTAGTTAGGGGTGAAAAGTAAAAAAAAAATTAAAAAAATAAAGTTTAGTTATTTAGTTATAGGTAAAATGTATTACCGTAGTACACAATGCAGAGGAGGCTTATGCCCTGTTAGCAGCCGACTCAGAGGCGATATACACTGCCTCAGAGAGTGATGCTGTGGACAGGAACCATGTGCCAGATACTGCAGGACCATCAGGAGAAAATCGATGATTTCCCTGATGCTGGACATGGCACAGATGACTGGGTACCCCTAATAATTTTTTAACAGACATCAGTTCACTGCCAATCCTGGCATGCAGGCTGACCTGTCTGGCTATAATGGTTGGATTGTATGCAGCTGTTCTTGGGGGATGAGATTTTTGGGGAAATAGTCACCCAGGCTAATCTGTATGCTGAGCGGTATCTTGCACACAATAAAGAGTCTCTCATCGCCAGGAAAGAGAGATGGTACCCCACCAGTGTGCCAGAATTGAAACAATTCTGGGCACTGACAATGCTAATGGGGATAATTAAAAGTCCAACATTAGAATGTATTGTTCTAAAAATCCCATTTGCCATATCCCCATTTATTCCCCAGACAATGAGTAGGGACAGATAGGTAGACATACTGTTTATGCACTTTAGTGACAATACGAAGTGCCCCCCCCCCAAAAGGAATGATCTTCTATATAAAATACGCCATCTAGGTGCCCACTTTAATGAAAAATGTGTCACTGTTTATACCCCCAAAACATATTTCTTTTGACAAATCCCTCACGAAGTATAAGGGAAGACTGGGGTTTAAACAGTACATCCCATCCAAGAGATCCCGATGTGGGATCAAATTTTATAAATTGTGTGAAAGTGGCAGTGGCTATGTGTACACCTTCCGTATATACGAAGGAAGGGATAGCCACCTTGATCCCCCAGGTTGCCCAGATATAGTAGGGACAAGTGAGAAAATTGGCTGGGACATAATTATGCATTTGCTAAACAAAGGATATCACTTGATCACTTGTATATTAATAATTTTTACAAAAGTACCCCACCTCTAAAATTGCTGTACTGCTTTGAGACCGTGGCCTGTGGCACTATACGGAAGAGTCGCACGGGTTTCCCAAAGGCTCTAGCAGAAAAAAAAAAAATAAAAAGGGGAGAAACAACAGTTCTCTGCCAGGATGAACTGGTGGCACTAAAGTACCGCGATAAAAAGGAGGTGTTAATCCTAACCACCATCCATGGCGAACGCACTCTCAAGGTTGCAGTTTGTGGCACAGAGGAAATTAAATGGGTGCCAATCTGCATATCACATTACAATCAGCATATGGGGGGAGTGGACCTGTCCGATCAACTGATGCAGCCGTATTTGATCATGTGAAACAGCAGGGCATGGTATAAAAAAGTGGGCATATATAGATCCGTTGCGGATTATGCCATAGAATTCCGCACGCTGGCGGCCGAGGTCGATTGGACTAACAGTGGTTTGGTAATAGCTTTCTCGGAAGGTCTCTCTGAGTCTTTATTAGATAAAACAGTAGCTAAGGATCTTCCGGATTTTCTGGAAGATTATATAGTATATATGATGGAAATTGATAACCTCCTTAAGCAGAGGGCTAAAACTAAGACACGAACTCTCCATACTCCTGTTCCCCCAGGTCCTCGTATGACTCCATCTGCTCCTGCAGTTGCCATCGAATTTGAACCTATGCAACTGGGAGTGATGAAGCTTACAGAAGCTGAGAAACAATACCGTAGGCTGAGGGTTTATGCGCGTATTGTGGTAAAAAGGGGCATCATCGTCTTAATTGCCCAATACGTCCAGAAAACCTCTGCACCTAAGCACCATTAGAGGACCGGCCTTTGGTGTTCGGAAAACGTCCTCTATATTGCCTCACAACAGATTCCTCCTATCAGTAGTTCTATCTTGGGGTGCTCATAACATTCCTTGTAAGGCTCTTGTCGATTCAGAAGCTGCATGAAAGCTTTATTGACAAGAAATTTGTGAACGACCTTCTTGTCCCCCTGAGGGAGAGATCCACACCTTTGGCCATTTAGGCCATAGATGGTAGACCCCTCCTGACACCTCTTATAACCCACAAGACCCTTCCGTTATCCTTGTCCGTTGGAATACTGCATAGAGAAAATATAGCTCTACAGGTTATTTCAACTCCTTTATGTCCTGTCATTTTAGATTTCCCTGGTTGGTAAAACATAATCCGCTCTTAGATTGGGTTAGGGTGAGATTCATTCATGGGGTACTACCTGCAAAGACCAAGGAATTATTAGCTATAATCCTGCCTTTGAAAGAGTGGAGACATTCAGTAGAAGGAGCTAAAGAATTTGGCCTATGTAAGTGAGGCTAAACATCTCTCATCTACACAGGCTAGACGGTCCTTGTTTCTTCCTCTTTTTAATTTTATCACATATAAGCCTGGTTGTCGTAATACTAAGGCTGCTGCCTTATCGAGACAGTTTGAAACCGACTCTGATCAGGATTTAGAAGTCGTTCCTATCATACCACCAGAACATATAGTGGCTACCACTATATTAACCATGTCCTCCTCATTGATGGAAATGGTACATAATGCTCAAACCCAGGCTCCTGACGACAAACCCAACGATAAATTGTTTGTGTCACCTACGGAGAGGACAGAAATACTCTCCTTGTACCATAATACCAAGTCAGCCAGCCAACCAGGAATTCTAAAAACCTTGTCCTCCATATCTAGACAGTTCTGGTGTCTATCTGCACTAGTTAGCAAGCCAGCTCTACATAAGGGATATCATCAATTTGCATCAAGGTTTTGCATGGTGAACTCATTTTTAATTCCCTTACAGGATGCTGCAAGAAATAGCTTCAGGTGACCTTCTCTCTCTAAAAGACACTCTAACCCTGTCATCCTTGGTCCCCTGCAGAATCCCCTGTCCCCACCACTCCCAAGGCCCTGGGGTCTGGCCCTTTCTTAAATGTGACGTTTAAGCTTAAAGTCATGGAGGCACCATCTTCCCGGCCCCGAACAAGTTGGTCATGCCCTACAGCGGCTCACGCCAGTAATTTAGTAATCAGCCTATTTAAGTCATGCATAGCATCACAGTGAGGCCTCTTTCTACATACGGTATTAGTTTCTCTCTAAGCCATTTCAACTTTTATCATATGCAATTCTATTTAGTCCCCTATATAGCTAGGTTCACTACCGACTGTATTAAAGTTATGTCACTTAACTTTACTAAGTTACTAACTTACTTACTTTACGTTACTTGGGTATGTACACTTGGTTAAACGACATATAATTTAACTGGTATAAACCTTCACTGTACACTTTAACGTCAATCCTACATAGGTTTTTTCCTGCAAAATAGTTTTTTGCGTTAGATTTAGTTTTTCGTTACGTAAGGTTTGTTGGTATTGGTTTACTTCCAATACAATTTTAAGCAGGTTTACAATACTGCCGAAATTATCTAAACACTTTTTTTACGTTCCATGTTCTCGTTGACATTGTTTTAATTACCTTAAATTTTCGTCTTCTCCATTATCACTACTCTCCCGGTTCTCCACCATTCCTCTCTCTGTTAAATTTTCCATATACAAGTTGCTCTTGCAAGGTTCATCACTTGATACGTACATCACTTATCCCAAATTCACATTAGTCCAACACTGGCCTGTGTATCGGGCGATTACCATGCAACTAATACGGTCTTGTTACAGGTTTACAATTCATACATTCTAGAGTTTAATCATTATTAGAAGAGGCTTGGCTCTTCATACTTGACCCACCCTACGTATACATTCTACCATTTCAATCAATTATGTTTCCATGCTCATTTACGTTCTCTCTCTACGTTTTCTGTCTAAGAGGAATCAATTTCTCTTATGTTGGCTATGTTTGTACAGAAGTACCTCACTCGTTCTCCCTAATCTTCACAGGTATACTTTAATCTTGTACATTGCTCCTCTGTTTATGAATATCAGATTTACATTTATTACTCATATGTCACAGTCAGGCTTTTCCCTTACAGCCTAATACGTGCACCTTTTTCTATAACTAAGGGTAAGCGGAGTTACATCCTTCCTTCCACTTTCCCAATCTATGCATACTTCATAGTAATCTGTTTGTCCCATCTCTGTAGGGTGTACTTTCCAGGTGTCTCTCTTAGAGACCATCTTGGTTACCAAGTTAGGTATGTTAACCATTAGGGTCAAATACGATATGTTTCAAACCCCGGTACGGGAATAATGAACTAACCTTCAGGGGAAGGGATAACCCCGGGGAAGGGATAACCTCAGAGCTGTCATACTACCCCGATCTCAATTTCAACTATGTTCAACTTGCACCCACCATTACCACCATCAACATACATCCGACAAAAACCCTGCATTTAGAGAAGCTGATTATGAATTTATGTTACTCGCACACTCACTATTCTATCATACTCATTCTATGAATACAAACAACTTATGTCAGGACTTTACAGTTTTAGTAGGTTAAGTTTGAGCGTCCCTCCGCAGGTAATCCCTACATTAAGACCACGATGACCTTTCTACCATTTACAAATAACACATAACATCATTAATTCTTACCTTCCAGGAAAACTACATCACTACATTTCCCAATCATACTCCCTTTCTTTCCTCATATACCATTACAACAATCTCCTCAAACATCACAGACCATTCTCTTTCATCCATTAGACTACACATAACCGAACATATATATAGGAGCCTACCCAATTTATCAGATACCAAACCTTTCCATAGTAAGATAACAAGGTTATCAAGTAACAATTTACATTGCCTTCCACAGTTTCTCGAGGCCCAGAGAAATCACAGTGGTGCACCATATGAAGTCAACTCCAACCTCGTCATACGCATCGACCGCTACATTCTCGCCCTTAAGAATTTCCATACTAACCTGATCAACCATCTAAGCACATATCACTATTCCTGACAGGCAACAACTGGCCCCACAGTAATACTAGATACACGCAATAGCTTACATCTAACTCTGTTGCAGTCACTTCACATCCTCCACTCTGCCCAGTCCTCATTATTACGAACAGACGGGTATCCCTTGTATTCAGTTCTTAGATTCTGCTTCATGAATAGAGCTCAGGGAATCGCTCAAGGTTATCTTTGTAAGTATGCTAAAAGAGTGTTTTCCACCGATACCTTTTTGGCCCTCTTAATACAGGCCTACCCGTATATTGGTTTCGGCACAACACAACCAACTTTCTCTCTTTCCTCTATTCCCTATATGAATTAAGTTTAATGACATTAAATTGTTTTTCTTTTTTTAACGTATATTTATTAATATATGTACAATATATTATAAGTTAATTAAAACACCTGATTAGCATTTTATTCATATATAATACTATATAATTTAATTTTAAATGTGTTTTGGTATTAATATATTAATATATAGATTAATACCAAAATACAGTAAGAATTAAATTATACATGTATTAATATTATGTATACTATGCTAATCAGATGTTTTAATAACTTATAATATATTATACATGTATAATACATGTATAATATATTATTTGAATGTTTGATTGTAACTTTATATTTTGCAGACACTAGGGGGACTGCCTGAACACTCAGACAGTCCCTCTGCAGGCAGTCTCAAACTGCTTTGCGGCCATGTGATTGCGACATTGGCCGCAAATGAAATGAAAGCAGGGCGACTGCCTGTCTCAAGAGGCAGTCCCCCCGGACCAGGATCACTGGTCTAATTAAGTGTGCAGGGACAAGAGAGCTAACAATCGCTAGGGTGTACTATGCCGCCCTAACAGCGTTTAGGCTAACTAAATGTGGGGTGGCATAGTACATCCTAACGGGTTAATGAAGGCTCAATTCTTTGCCATTTAGATCACTGTGTTTATACAGCTCTAGTCACACCTTCCTGCATGTGACTTGCACAGTCTTTCTAAACACTTTCTGAAAAGGAACCTAGATATTTTAGGTTCCTGTATTGCACAGTCTGTTTAATCTAGACATTTTTTATCTCCTGTTCTTTTAATAGCCTGTGTATTGGGTGCTGGGATGGTGGGCAGGGTGTGAGGGGCATCTAATTAACGCTAGAGGAAGGCTGGCCCCACTTCAAACACTGGGTACCTGCCTCATTTAATCATGAATAGGAAACATAACATAACAAAGGAAACTGCAGTAATAATGAATAGATCACAACACTTTATCATACACATCTTAAAGCTGATAGTTTACACAAAAAAGATAATCTTTTTAATTTTTTTTAAAAGCAAAAAAAAAAAAACAACAACAAGCAAACAAACTGGTGGGCTGCTGCCCCAGCTGCCTCTATGGATGAGCCTCTACTGGCAGCTTTAGAACAAATGCGTACTGTATAACACATTGGGAGTAACACATTAGATTAGCACAGTTTTTGAAGTTTTGGTGTATAGATCATGTCCCTGCAGTCTCACTGCTTAAGTCTCTGCCATTTAGGAGTAAATCACATTTGTTTTCGTTTATACAACCCTGGCCACATCTCCCCTGGCTGTGACTGACACAGTCTACATGAAGAAAATAGTTTCACATGAGGCTCCTGCAGACTCTAGCAGGTTGTTGACAGAGCAGTGGATGAGAGATTCGAAATTAAACTGACTGCGCGATAAAGGAAGTTTACATCTCTTATTACAGGAAATGTGCATGTCACACAGTGATTGAACTACTAAACAGCAGAGAATTGAGCTACAAGACTGTAGAGGCATGATCTATCTACCAAATCCACTTCATTATGCTGAAGTTGTTGTGTTGTTTATAGTGTTTCTTTAATACCATATGAGCACTAATCTAATTTGTGACTCCCACTCTCTCACTATACATTACTAAATCATTATATATAATTATCGTATATATCTAGAGATTCTTTGTAACTGATCGAACTTGGCTTCTAGCCTACCAAGTGTAAAAACGGTAAAACAAAAATCACAAAAAATAATCAGAGAATAAAGTAAAATATACACCTGTTTGCAGCTCTCCAAATAATGCCTCTTTCCACTACGTTCATCAGTAACAGAGAAAACTAAATTAAGGCACAGGTATGAGGAGTATAAATGTGTGATTTTCCTCTTTTCGTGCTTGCTATAAGGCTACAAGGAGTTGAAAAACTCTGTAAAAAGTAAGAAATTGTATTCAGTAAAGATACAAAAATATTTTATCACTGAAACACACTCACACTTTTAAAAACACTCTTACAAGCATGTATGTTTTGCCAATATGCCTGTCATTACGCAGGAAACATAAATAGCTTTGCCACTTGTTGTACTTGATGCCACTTTTGTCATTTTTCTCTGTTCTAGCCCATTAGGGCCTTCCATTTACTCTAACATTGCTGTATGCTGTATCATTGCATTTAGTTTCTCCCGAATGAAGAAGGAATGAAAGAAGTTGACGATTTAATCATAAAGAGCGGAAAGTCCTGCAAAGTCTGGATGGGTCCCATGATAAGTATAATAGCTCTGGTCCATCCAGAAACCATCAAACCTATGCTTGCAGCCTCAGGTACAGTAACTGAGCTTTCTTTTAAAATAAAAAAGTTATGAACAATAGTTTTATAGTTTTTAATGTTAATACAATTTGTACTTGCTTATGTATTTTTGTTTAAGGATCAATAAACCATTTTCTTTACTACACATTCAGCAAATAAGTTTATATATATTAAAAAAAAATTATAAGATACAATACAAAATGCAACACAATGCTATTACTCAGTCATTGTTATTCCCACTTGGGTGGTGCAGGTAAATGGGGAAACAATAAAGTATGGAAGAAATAGCAAAAAATAGATATTTAGAAAAACTAACATGATCCTATTTTCACTTTAACTTGTGAAATCAATTTTATATGAATTATATCATGATATCCAAACTATAATATTAAATACATAATAAAAACAAAGAAAAACGTTTCCTGCGCTCTGGCCTAGATCCCCATGTGCATTTGAACAAAAATGGAGGCTCTTTAGTTCTATTCTAAATGGCCATTTGAATATATAAGCTCACCAGCCACGTCAAGGCAAGCCTCAATAGGTGAGTTCCTACACTTTCTGTCTCACTTTGTCTGATATCAGCAAAGTTTATTGTATGTGCAGAAGCCCTATAAAGGGTTAAATGTGAAAGGGTTTATAAAATACCCCTTCCTGTCTTATTGGAGACTCTTGGCTGATATCAGCGTATCTAATGGCTAGTGTAGGAACTCACCTATTGAGGCTTGCCTTGACGTGGCTGGTGAGCTTATATATTCAAATGGCCATTTAGAATAGAACTAAAAAGCCTCCATTTTTGTTCAAATGCACATGGGGATCTAGGCCAGAGCGCAGGTAACGTTTTTCTTTGTTTTTATTATGTATTTTAAGCTGTTGGATACTAAGCCACTTCTGCTGTAAGCGCGGTGCTTTATCTTTGTGTTTGTATATAATATTAAATACACTGATATGATAACATACAATTAGGGATTATTCTAGCCTCGGTGAGGGAATAATCTAAATTTTATTAAAGACAGGAGGCGAATATTTGCTTTACCTTCTTTACTGAAACCTCCAGCAGCAAAGAAACAGTTAACAGAACTTTTCAAAACAACCAATCAGAACAAAGCAACAGTAGTATAAAACCCCTAAGCAGGCTCTTCCACTTCCTCTTTCTTTGATGAGGTCGAGCAGGAGAGCAAGGAAACCAACGAATCCACCTTGTAGCAGACACATCCAGAGAAACAATCGTCAAGCCCAGAGAGAGAACAGATTACACTGCAAGAAAACAGAAAACATTGTGAAAGTAAACTGTCAAGGCAAGATGTCATATCCATACAATATCACTTTCACATCATAATACCTGATGAATAAACAAAGTCTACAGATCTTATGAAGACCTAGTATGTACCTAAGCTAAAATGGCATTGACGAAACATAATTACAAACACAAACATGATGAATAAAACGCACACGGACAACCATCACTGAATATTAGAAATAACCTTTATTATGTAAAACCATGCATTCACAAAACATAACGATATCCCCAATTATTTATAATAAAATAAAACCCAGATCCAGGGAGGGAACGTAAAAAAGGGGGGGAAATATTCGCCTCCTGTCTTTAATAAAATTTAGATTATTCCCTCACCGAGGCTAGAATAATCCCTAATTTTATGGCAGGACAGGAGGCTTCATATTTGCAATTTTAACGCCCAAATAGTAGAACCAGAAGCAATATGAGAGAGGACTGAAATAAAGGAGAATGGAAAAACTGATTCCCTAAACCAAGCAGCGGTGTAGAGAAAAGGCAGAAGGGACCCAACGGCTTCCAAAATTGTTGAGGTGACACCACCCCGAACCAAAAGTGTCCCAGAGGAACTCAAGGTCAGTCAATGAGAGGATCCACCAAATCCAACGGGCGAGCGAAGATGCAGAAACAGTCCAAAACGGCCGTACGCAGAAATAAACAGCTGTCCATGAGTAGACGGACGAAAGAACCAGATCCTGGATCTACATGGTCGTGTACAATCTGTCAGAGCCATGGCCTATCCGGAGAATAGGGGTACGACACAGAGGACGAATAAAAATGAAATATGTGTGGAGCAGAAGCCGATGTACTGAACGGCAAGAAGGAAGAAGACACGTCGATACCATGACGTCAGAACACGATGAAATAGAAGATGTACTGGGGGGAAACCGTAAGCGGAAAAAAATGGTGCACCTTGTCATCAGGTCATTCCTCAATGAAATGCAGAACATACGATACCACTAGACTTGAGGAATAGTGAGAGATAGGGCTCCCGTACAGTATACTCCTCTTGGTAGACTGCAGACCAAGAGATCCTTAGCAATGCCAGAATCTTGAGAAAATGCACATGAGTCGTCCACTAGCTGACATAGGACGTGAATGGCCCCATACGATTCTACCCTGAGAGGGCAACTCAGCCAGACAATGGGGACAGCCATGATAAGGACCGCCATTGGGACCCAAACACCAGTCGTGGCAGGCTACCCCTGTGGATCCCACATGGGACATTAAGAGACAGGGAGTCGTAGATTGCCTTCCCATGGCAAACTCCAGCAAAAAGGGGAAAGCACGCAGGACTCCTCCGAAGTGGTTTGGCCAGGCGAAACGACACACCAGGAATTCGGCCTGAAGCAAAACCCAAAGTATCCTGTAGGTAAACGGGATGCGTACGCCCCGAAGGAGACCAAGCTTGGAAAACTCGTCCCTCGCCTCGCTGAGGGAGAACCGCTCCGTATGGCGGTTTGCACCGAATGTAATCATGCCAGTACTCGAGACCCTGGAGGGTGAGGCAACCAATCATTTGGGTCTCTCCATGGTCGGGTGAAGCCGTCCGCCACACGAGTGTCTCGTCCCGTATACATTCTGTCACAAATGACGAATACTTGTCCAGAAGCTATAGATAGCGATCCTATGTGAGATCCGACTGCAGTCCGTAGTGGGCAACCGGTGAGAAGTCCATGCCAGAAGGTAGCGAGCAATACTGTGAATGTTGAACAAACCTGCAGGTGGTTCCATGCAGTTGGCGTAAAGGAGTCCCTCCTCCGGAGTCATCAATTAAGTTTTAGATGAGCTTCATCCGAAGGTCACATGATTTGGTCATACCAGGCCGAAGACCCGAGAAAGCGCCATGTTGGAGCGGCTGATAGTACCGGATCCTGGAGATATGGCTTCCATGGCGAATAGGCACCGGTCAATTAACCGGTTTGGGCCCCTAAGTGTAACCCCGCGGGTTGCGGAGCATATACCTGGTATTTTCCTTGAAGATGGACATCTTGGTCCTCGGGAGGCGGAGCACCGCCTGGACCGAATATTCCATGAAAGACCGGAAACTGGGTTGACTGGGAGTGAGTCAGATTCAATATGTCCATGCTGATGGCAAAATCCATGCGGGTTTCTCTCATGTGTATTTGAGGGAGAGAACCAATCGTCAACGCCAAGCAGCTCTCAGAGGGGATGAGTGCCCTCCGTCTCAAAATGTGTCAACAGACGACATATGCACTGGGAGCATGTAGCGTGGGGATGGGGCGGGAGTCCACTCCACCGCACCCTTTGCCCAGCAGGGCAACTGCGGAATTAGTCGGAATGGATGCCTCTTTTGGTCATGCGTATCGCTCATGGAACGGTCCAAGGTTCCGCAACCTTGATCTGGAGTCCAGGCACGGTCCGAGAGACCTCTGGGGTTAGTTAAGGGGGAACCCTATGAATAGAGACGTGTCAGCTCAATTTGTACACTAGGGTAACTCCGGAGAGCAGACCCAGCACTTGGATGCTAAATCCTTCAGTTTGATGTCCAGCTTGGACAGGGGCCGTTTTGCGGTTCTCAGGGGTAGAAACCAACTAGGCGATACCTATAAGACATATCGGTCCATTCCCAGTGGGAACTTAGTCTTCTCCGCTTTCCAAGCGGTAATGCGCCGTTCGTCCCGAGGAAACATCTGTGTCCGCGTGTCACCGACATCCACTGGTTAGTCCCAGATAGAGTGCAAACCCCGTGTCAGGTGTTTGCGGTGTCCTTTCCGGACTCCATCATGAAGACTGATCCTCTTGATGAATCCACCCGTTAGCCAACGAGTACCAGGGGTGCTTGGTGTAGCGTCTAAGATGGCCGGTGGAGTGTCCCCGTAGGGTACCGATGGTTTCTGGCGGTGAGGTCAGCGGGGCGGCAAGAGGACAGGCCAAGTGACCTTCTGGGTACGGGAGATTTGTCCTGCAGCCGTGATTGCACAACTGCCATAGAGGTAACACTGTCGGAATGATACCTTGTGCGGCCAGCTGGGGGTCACCCAGCGTGCAAGAGGGGGTCACCCAACAAGCACAAGCATACCATGCAGTATAGGCCAGCAGGGGAGGGGGTCACCCTCAGTCTGAACATAAATCGGACACTGTAGGTACAGTAGTGCCATAGTGGTTAGCCGTATAATAAAGTAACCAGACATTGCCGGTCCAGCAGTGTAGACAGCAGGAGGGGGTCACCCTCATATAACCAGAACCGGGCATTGCAGATCCAGCAGTGCTGTAGGTAAGAGGGGGTCACCCTCAGTGTGTTATCATAGAGGTCTGTACACCCAGCAGTATAGTCAGCGAGAGGGGGTCACCCTCATTATGCTTATAACGGGACCCTGTAGGTCCAGCAGAGTAGTCCACAGGAGGGGGTCACCCTCAGTATCTGCGTATTGCCGGGCACTGTAAGAACAGAAGCTCAATCAGTGGGAGGGGTACCCTCTTTTATGGGAATACCCGGACGCTGCAGGTCCAGCAGTGCAGACTGCAGGAGGGGTACCCCCTCGGTATGATAATAGCAGGACATTGCCGGAGCATTAATATAGGAAGCAGGAGGGGGTCACCCTCAGCATTAATCTTACAGGACGCCATAGAGCCAGCAGGGTACTCATAGGTAGCCATGTTGCCAGAGGGAGGGGGTCACCCAGCCCACAATGGTGTCACACGTCCATTATTATGGTCCAGTAGCGGGTAGAGCCCCAGAAATATGGATGGGGGGGTTCACCCCCCCAGTAATAACAGGTCTGAATGTGGGGCCAGTAGCCCCCCTGAGGGGTAGGAGGGTCCATAAAGCGAGAAGCTGACTCACAGACCACTCAGGTATTATATTAGGATACACTTTTGAAGTGTATGTGTAGTGGAAAATGTAAGTCCTTTGCAGGAAGGGCAGCAAATCCTAGGCAGGGATGCTAGGTGCTGAAAAACAGGCCATTAAATTTTTATGAGAAAAAGACTGAACCTTAGAGAAAGACTTGATTAGCATATAACACATGTGGCATAGTCTTGTTAAACAAAGATTTATATTTGAGCAGTAACATGTCCCTTTAAATCTGAGATTCACATGTAATAGTAAAAAAGATAAGATAGTCACATTGCATCAGACATAGTAAGCTGCAGTTGTGAGCATGCCTGGGACAGATCCTGCTATCCAGGATCTGTTACATATGCAGCATGTGAGACAGGCACAGTAAGTAGAGGGATAGCTGAAAAACTGGGCTATCTCCCCTGATATAGGGAGAGGGGAGGGTGGCCACATGGCCAGCAGGCCAGTTCTTGGGTGAGACCTGGCTGTTTGCAACACACAGAGTCCATGTGGCTCTGAAAAATGGCCGCTGCGGCTCCAACAAAATGGCTGCTGTGGCTGCAAAAACAGAGCGCGGCCTACCGCGTGGTGATCGTGCCACGGTAGAAAAAAGCTGCTCAGTAAGCGGCCAGGGGCCACGGGGAGCAGGTGGGCAATAAGGGAGAAGGGTATGGGCGACAGAGCCCAGCAGGGGAACCCGGGGAGGGGGAACAGATTACAGGCAGAGCCAAAGCATCATAGCAGGGGCACCCATTCCCCATACAGCAGAGTGAGAAAACAGAATAAAGTAACCCAGAATAACAATAAATCAATGAGCAGTATACAGAATCTGTCAGATAAATGGCCTAAATACAGCAACAGATGTTAACAAGTGATACAGCAGCTACATAGCATGAAGTGGTATAGGAAATAACACAAAATAAACTGCCTAGCTAAACACAGCAATAGACTGCCTAGATAAATCCAGCAATAGACTGCCTAGCTAAACACAGCAATAGACTGCCTAGCTAAACACAGCAATAGACTGCCTAGATAAACACAGCAATAGACTGCCTAAATAAAACTAGCAATTAAGCTGCTTAAACAAACCTAACAAATAGACTGATTAAATAGACTGTTTGAATAAACAAGCAGCATGTAGAATAAAACAACAACCAAGAGCAGAGACAACTCTGAGTTGGTGAGTGCTCACCTGGAGGCAGCAGCAAAGAAAGAGGAAGTGGAAGAGCCTGCTTATGGGTTTTATACTACTGTTGCTTTGTTCTGATTGGTTGTTTTGAAAAGTTCTGTTAACTGTTTCTTTGCTGCTGGAGGTTTCAGTAAAGAAGGTAAAGCAAATATGAAGCCTCCTGTCCTGCCATAAAATTAAAATTGTCTAAAAATATATGCACAATAAACACACATGCTCTGTACACAATATTGCATTTACACAATAATAAATACAAATCCTCGAGACAAATTTACAGTTAATGTCAGGGATCCCAAGTTGGATTCTCATAGAACTCACTTGGTGGGCAGTGCCTTTCCATTGTGGTCCAGTCTCCACTATGACTCATGCATCAACTCAGTGTTGGACATAAGCAGCATTCTGATGATCATCTATCCTCTTTCCAGTGCATTAGAGATCAGAGCAAGTGAGAAATTGAGTGACACCACCTAAAATATTTCAGACCAGATCACTAACTGTCTCCCCAGACTTAAGCAGAATAACATCCCTCGATATCAGAGTCCCCAGAGAGGAGTCCCTTTACAGCATGGGACCCCATAGTACCAGCTTCTGGTACCACTGGAGAGTGGCCAAGGTCTTTATGATCTGGGCGCAGATGGTAAGTACTTCAATTCCAGAACTTTTTGCCATAGGTACATCAACAGGAGTGGAGTTTGTGGCTTGCATTGCCTTCTCTAACATTTTTGCGGACTTTAGTACCATATGAGGCATAGGTACAATCCGAAGGTAGGTCTTCTTTGAGCAAACAGGAATGGTACTGGCTTTAAATGGAGTGTTTTCAGGACTAGGTCAGATGTCTTTGGAGCAAGAGGTGGAGATTTTACCAGGGAGGACAAGCACAGACAGGCATGACGGCATCTTTGAGTCTTACAAGATGACATGCAGAGCTTATTGGACGAAGAAAGGTAGTAGCCAGTCGGAGAGCAGGAAGCAAACAGGGCAATAAGAGATGAAGTGTCTCCTTTCTCCAAAGTAAAAACAGAGGCAATGGCTACTCCTCCGGTCTCTTTCTTCATGCATCACTTTGATCTGGACGAGTCTTATTTCCATAGGTTCCTCGGCGTCAAGAGGAACATTGGATACCTCTGGAGTCTTCCTATGAACCGTATCATAAGGAGGCAACAAGGAGGTGTGGTGTTGGTACTTGGTCTCCCTGTCTCTGGGAATCTGGGATCCTCTGGAATGTGGAGCAGGCCTTGGCACAGTAGTTTTACTAGAAGTCTTGCACTGCTAATCCATAGCAGTCATGAAAGACCCCCAACTGTCGAGTACAGGAATCTTAGCCTGCAACATCTGGTGTGCCCATGTTTTAATCCGTCCAGACAACAGGTTGATAGTCGATCGGACCATGATGAAGTCGTGGCATATGTCCGAGGCTTTATGGTGAATAACAACTCACAATCCACCTTAAAGTACTGGAAGGATGTACAGCTACAGTCGGATCTCTCTGTCATAACAACATATGGCAAAGAATAAGCAGGTTCCAGGGCTGAGCGTACTGTGCCTTTAAGAAATTGAACTTCTCGCTACAGCTTCGAAACAGTCTGGGCCAGGCTGGACACTCGCTGGGTAAACAACTTGCACATCTCTGCAGACTCCATGAATGTCAGTTTGTTATGTCACGGTCTTACCTTGGTTGGAGTCCGAAGTGCAGAGATGTATGTTCACCTTTGCAGATAAACACAACCCACGGTAACCATGTAAGAAGCTACCTGAATATATGCATGGGGGCTTAGACAGGAACAATAACCAGATATGAGGAAACAGACAAGGGCCAGGAGAGTAGTCAGGCATGGTTTCAAAGGTGAGGGCAAGCAGCAAACTGGCAAAAATTAAGATTCTACAAGCAGGAGTCACAAGCCAAGTCAGTTTTAGGCAACAGGAAACAACAAACTGACCCTGCCCTCAGGGAGAGTCAGTGTTATATACCTGGAATAATGATCAATCTGCCTCAGGTGGACTTAGATTGACAGGTAGAAGTGTAAATATTAGCTAGCTTTATGTGCTTGGTAAGGAGAAACTGCTCATGCAAAAATCCAGAGGTGGATCCATAACTCCTTCAAATGTTGCAAAAAATTAATGCAACAAAAGGAGCTGTATGTTAGCAAAGTAACACACGAACTGGACAAATATAAAGATACCCTGCTGAAAATATTTTTAAGTTGTAAATTTGATGGTTCGAAATATTGGGTCTTTATATATAGTTGAACTAATGAGCTTAATTAGATACTGGTATCCTGAAAGAGAATAAAATAGTGGTGAATGTAGTGAAGATCCGCTATCTCAGAACACTCAATCTAAAAAGATAACATATCATGTATGGGTAAGGCCAGTTCTAAGAACACTAAGTATTGGTCCATGCATTCTTTAAACAGCTGTAATCTAGCATGAAATGTAGTAAAATAATAAAAAAACTGAACGTTCAGTGCATCGACACATTATAGTGATAATTCAGTGAATGTTCTGATCTGCTCCATTAAGTAGATTCACTAGTCCACCCTGAGAAAAGCTAATACACCATTAGACAACTCGTAAAGTACAAACAAAATCTAAAAATTCCCTATTAGCAAAACTGCCAGCTGTCATAAACAATTATCTGCCTAAATTTGTACATATAATTTTGTACATAACTATAAACAGCAAATATCCTAGCTGAGCTAATAGAGACAAAGGCAGGCCTAAACAAGCTTAACTATACACATACATGTCTAAAAGTGAACACTAAGGCATAGTAATTAGCTCTCGCAAAAAATCCATGGACCACATACCGTGTCTCATAGTGCTCGATTACCCTAAATTAAAAAAATAAAGAAAAGGTCCAAAAGTGCGTTTCTGTGCCTCATGGCATCTTCATCAGAGACCATACAAAGAAACAAATGTACGCCCTCAAAGGCGTTTGTATTTATTGAGGAGCTACGTTTGTATCTTTGTCTTGCCACCTGAGAGAATCAGCCTGATCGCAACAGCCATCACTTAGGATAGTTGGGGGATTTGACAAAACTTTACAGTGGAAGCTCCACCTTTTGTCAAGTTTTGACTACTACAGGCTTTTCCATAATACAAAGTAGACCCTACTTTTATCTTATGATATCTTTTGACTATGTTGGAATTTAAAAAAAAATCAAAATGTTTGGAGAGGTCTCAACTGTCATAACTCTTGGTCAAAGATAGTTACTGCATGAAGTTGATTAAATTATGAAATCTGTGTCAAAATACAGGGTGGCAAGCCTACTTTAGATGATAGATGTTAGAACCCTAAAAAACACTACTGGTGATATTTCAAGTTAGTGGGGTGCAATACTGGGAACATGGATTTAACTCTGTCCCTAAATGTTTTTAGTCATGAATAGGAACATGTCTACATGGCAGAACTACCTCCAAAATCTGTGTTTGATTCCATATGTAGGAAATAAACCACGTGTACATACTCTAATTAATGAGAGAAATACATAGGCTATTTTGAGGTTAAACTTATATTACAAGTGTAAAACAAAGTTTAGCCTCTAGATGCTGCCAAAGAATTATTTGTAGTTAAAAAAAATTACTTTACAGGTACTCCTCACTTATCGACCATGTTCCGTTCCTACGACCCAGTTGTAGAACGAATTGGTTGGTAAGTGAGGAGTAAAGGGATTCCCTGCTCTGCTGCGTTCTTCTATGTTCAGGGAAATTTCCCAAAACATAGATGAACGCACCAGAGCAGGGAATCCCTCTAATCCATGTTTGGGCAAATTTCCCGGAACAAAGATTTAAAGGGACACTCCAGACACCCAGACCACTACAGCTCATTGGAGTGGTCTAAGAGCCTTGCCACTCTCCCCTTAGCCCTGTTAGTCAAAACACTGCGGTTTTAGAGAAACCGCAGTGTTTTGATTACAGGACTAATCCCACCTCTAGCTGCTGTCTCTAGATGGTGCTTCTGGCTTTTTAGAACACTAAAAGTGTTTTAAATGACGCTGGATGTCCTCACGCTATGCATGAGGACCTCCAGCATCGCCAGAATCCCTATAGGAAAGCGTAGCTATACACATACATGTCTAAAAGTGAACACTAAGGCATAGTAATTAGCTGTCGCAAAGAATCCATGGACCACATACCGTGTCTCATAGTACTCGATTACCCTAAATTAAAAAAATAAAGAGAGCTGGTCATAAGTGCGAGCCATCGTAAAACAGGTAGGTCGCAAAACAAGGACCACCTGTATTACAGAATATCATATATATATATATATATATATATATATATATATACACATATAGATATACACATATATATATATATACACATATATATATATATATATATATATATATATACACAGTTGCAAGAAAAAGTATGTGAACCCTTTGGAATGATATGGATTTCTGGTCATAAAATGTGATCTGATCATCATCTAAGTCACAACAATAGACAATCACAGTCTGCTTAAACTAATAACACACAAAGAATGAAATGTTGCCATGTTTTTATTGAACACACCATGTAAACATTCACAGTGCAGGTGGAAAAAGTATGTGAACCCCTAGACTAATGACATCTCCAAGAGCTAATTGGAGTGAGATGTTAGTCAACTGGTGTCCAATCATTGAGATGAGATTGGAGGTGTTGGTTACAGCTGCCCTGCCCTATAAAAAACACACACCAGTTCTGGGTTTGCATTTCACAAGAAGCATTGCCTGATATGAATGATGCCTCGCACAAAAGAACTCTCAGAAGACCTACGATTAAGCATTGTTGACGTGCATAAACTTGGGAAGGGTTATAAAAGTATCTCCAAAAGCCTTGCTGTTCATCAGTCCACATTAAGACAAATTGTCTATAAATGGAAAAAGTTCAGCACTGCTGCTACTCTCCCTAGGAGTGGCCGTCCTGTAAAGATGACTGCAAGAGCACAGCGCAGACTGCTCAATGAGGTGAAGAAGAATCCTAGAGTGTCAGCTAAAGACTTACAAAAGTCCCTGTTAGCGAATCTACAATACGTAAAACACTAAACAAGAATGGATTTCATGGGAGGATACCACAGAGGAAGCCACTGCTGTCTAAACAAAACATTGCTGCACGTTTACAGTTTGCACAAGAGCACCTGGATGTTCCACAGCAGTACTGGCAAAATATTCTGTGGACAGATAAAACCAAAGTTGAGTTGTTTGGAAGAAACACACAACACTATGTGTGGCGAAAAAAGGCATAGCAGACCAACATCAAAACCTCATCCCAACTGTGAAGTATGGTGGTGGGGGCATCATGGTTTGGGGCTGCTTTGCCGCGTCAGGGCCTGGACGGATTGCTATCATCGAAGGAAAAATTAATTCTCAAGTTTATCAAGACATTTTGCAGAAGAACTTAAGGCCATCTGTCTACCATCTGAAGCTCAACAGAAGATGGGTGTCGCAACAGGACAATGACCCAAAGCTTAGAAGTAAATCAACAACAGAATGGCTTAAACAGAAGAAAATACGCCATCTGAAGTGGCCCAGTCAGAGTCCTGACCTCAACCCGATTGAGATGCTATTGCATGACCTCAAGAAAGCGATTCACACCAGACATCCCAAGAATATTGCTGAACTGAAACAGTTCTGTAAAGAGGAATGGTAATAAGGGACACTGCAGTAATAATAATTAAAAGAACATAATACATTTTATCTAACAGACACATATTAAAGGTGAATGGGTACATAAAAAAAAGCTCAAAACCTCAACAGAAAAAAAAAATAATTATATCGTTTTCAATGTATTTGACAATGAGTTAGCGCACAATCTTTTTTTAAAGCTCTCCAATTGGAAAGTACAGAAAAATAAGAAATTATAATTATAACCTATTAACCTTATAGATGTAATTTATACAGAATATGTGCTCACACAAAAATATATAGTTTTTGTTATATTGTTTTGTTGGAAAAAAATTGGCTGGTGAAAAGGGATGATCCAGTACATAACAACAATTACAATATACCCATTCCTGTTTTCCAGCCTCCATTGCTCCTAAAGATGATCTATTTTATGGATTTTTGAGGCCCTGGCTTGGTCAGTATCTTATGCTTTTTTGTATTTTCTAACATTTTCTGTATTTATCAATCTCCTTACGCAAGGTCTTCTTCCTCTTCCGAAAACTATTATTGATAACTTACAATAAGTGTACCTAGCAATTATAATGTTACGTGAAGATAGCATTAAAGGGGCACTCATGCCTGGAAGTGACCCATTCTTTGTAATGTATTGTACAGGGAGCACATTAAAATGCAAACACAACAAGTCCAGAATAACAGAAATAGAATAGAATAGATTTTTTTTAAAATAATTTTTATAGTTTCTAATATTTGTGCCATTTATCTACAACAGTGGTATGCGAGTACAGGAGCCACCAAGAAAGAAGTAGTTTAAGTGGGAGGTGGTACAGAGATAGAGTTAGATGCAGAGGAATGTTTCAACACTTTCTCTTTTTTTTTTATATGCAAAAACTATACAAAATTGGTCATGCAAAAAATACAGCTAATTATTTTTGATACATCTTTAAAAATTAATACAAATTGCATTGGTTCCTAGAGTGTCCGTTTAAAGTTTAATGAAAAAAATAAGTGTCATCCCAAATATGACAATGAATAATATGAAATTCAATAATTGAGTAAACTGTCTAGAAAGAATTTTGGGCATTTGCACCCATTAAGTGATACCATAGGCATGCAGACTTTATCTCACTTAAGTGGTCTGGGTGCCATGTCCCTTTATTTTTGTTCCTGTGGTGTAAAACATTGCCATTCTTCAGAACAGCAATGTTTACATTGCAGAGTTTAAGTACCTCTAGTGGCTGTCACTCAGGCAGTCTCTAGATGCGCTTCTGAGGAAATAGCAGAGTAATCCTCTGCTATTTCTCTCAGATGGTCTCATAGTGCTGCATTTTGCTACGTATGAGTATTAGCCTCCTAGTGATTTCCTAAAGGATGAATTTAGCAAGGGACAACCACAGACAGGGTAATTTGATGTGGGTGCAAAGGTAACTAAACTTACATTTTTACAAGGAGGGCAAATATCCCAAATTTGTAAATGTTTGTATTCCTAATGCTATAGTGTTCCTTTAAGAAAAATAAAGTTTTCTTACTACAAACAAAAATTTATGAATAAATTAAATTTATCTTAATATATATATATTGCAGTGTACTGTCAAGAGTATTTTCCTGCCATTTAGTTCACAGATCAAGAGAGAAATAGTAACCATTAGTATGAAAAAGAGGAGGAGTAATGACAAAAATATAAATATTTATTAAATATATAATATATAAGTATGAAAATATAGATTTTTTTTTTTTTACTGCTTCAGCTTTTTTCCCCTCTATTGGTCACTTATCAGTTGATCTGTGAATAAAACTTTTCCCATCAATCACAAGTGAAACTCAAAAAACTTTTTTAAACCCACATATTTGTCCATTGCGTTATTCATTTGCTCGGGTATATGTCTGTATGGATTTTCGGAGATACAGAATTTGGCCAAACAGCCGAATGCCCAAAATTCTGACAAATTGCAATTTGGTTGAAACCAAATTCGCAAGTGTATTTATTATTCTAAGTTAGTTATTTTATATTATCCATTGGATGTTATCCATCCTTTGCATGCAACATTACACCTTAATTCAATTGAGGGCTCTGCAACACCATTTTAATTTGGGGGACTATTTTTATTTGTCCTTATTTTATTTTGGTCATAACTAATGGTGTCCACATCATTTATCTGATTATACTACAAGCAATGAATTATGTTAGAAGAATAAGGCAGAAAATAATTTTACTTTGCCATAGCTGTCAAACTAATTTTCTTGCCTCTGCTAACCAATGCTAGTTTAGCTATTACCATAGGATATAATCCCTGCATTTATAGAACTCTCTGTATCAGATGTGTTAATTAAATGTTATATTGTAGGAGATGGACTTTTACTCAGTCGAGGAGAGAAATGGGGAAAGCATCGTCGGCTGCTGACACCTGCTTTCCACTTTGATATTCTAAAGAACTATGTTAAAATCTTCAGCAAGTGTGCAGATATTATGCATGTACGTTGTACCTTTCATATTGTATAGTGAATGATTGCTTCCCATCCTAGCCAACACTATAAGAATGTTCTGTTATATGAATATATAATCCAATCCTTGCTATAAAACTTCAAGTTAATTTCATACGTTAAAGAAAATGCAACCAAAGTGAACGATCGAAAAAAATCAATCACTGAGGGTGTATTGGTTGTAGGGTATTTAGGGCATAACCCAGAATTGCATATAGAAAAAGAGAGAAGACTGAGAAAGGTGGACTAAGAGAAGTACTCCTAAAACAGTCTCTATGCCCTTAAGTCAGAGATGCTCCATTAGAATAAGGTAACAAATTGCTGGTACTAGAGCAACAAAAATTGAACTAAAACAATTACATTTTAATAAACCCTCTTGAGGGGACAATATGTGCATATAACAAATGTGAAACGTGAGTTTCGGCGCCCACGTGCGCCTTTTTCAAGAGCTACGGTCTTAGTACCAGCAATTTGTTACCGTATTCTAATGGAGCATCTCTGACTTAAGGGTATAGAGCCTGTTTTAGGAGTACTTCTCTTAGTCCACCTTTCTCAGTCTTCTCTCTTTTTCTAATTTCATACGTTAGCTATCAATAATTATCTAGTCGTGGAATAAAGAGCAAATATACGATACTATGCATTAAATAAACAGCAAGATTGTTTTAATAGCCCATCCTTTATTGAAATTGAAAATGTATAGATGGTGATTTTTTTTTACACACCGTAGAGCACTTTTTTATTGCAAAAAAACCTAGTCCATTGCAGTCCATACAAAATGGCTATTGCTAATGTAGAAATTGAACTTTATGATTATGGTGCATAGCATTTTTTTTAATATATTCTCCGGGACTTAAAGGGATACTAGAGGCACCAAAACAACTTTAGCTTAATGAAGCAGTTTTGGTGTATAGATCATGCCTCTGCAGCCTCACCGCTCAATTCTCTGCCGTTTAGGAGTTAAATCACTTTGTTTAAGAAGCCTCGGCCACACTTCCGTACATGTGACTTACATAGCCTTCCTAATCACTTCCTGTATACAGTCATCTAATTTTTACACTTCCTTAACTGCACATTCAGTTTCATTTAGAATGTCTTATCTCCTAATCTGCTTATGACCTGCTAGATCCCGCAGGAGCCTCCTGTGTAAGACTCTAGTTTAATTTACAGAATTAAGAGTAATTTAAATTAACATCTGGTTAAATATGAAACCTTTTTCATGCCGTCTGTACCCATCACAGCCAGGGGAGGTGTGGGTATGGCTGCGTGAACAGAAACAAACGTGATTTAACTCCTAAATGACAGATAACTGAGCAGTGAGACTACATGGGCATGATCTATGCACTGTGATAAGGTGAATGGGGTGGTCTGTGAGGGAGTCTATATCTCGACAGAATTGTTCAGAGAGGCATATGATTTTTAACCCCAGGGGGAGTTTATGTTTCTGTGTATGTAACCAGAATTAATATTTAGTTATGGGCCCCTGGGGTGGAGCATTTGGAGAGCAGGGTGGGCCAGTGCTCCACTCCGCAGTTTAGCGGTTTTCTTGGAAGACATAGATCCAGCCCAGGGTTTTGGACTGTCTCCAACCTACTGCTCAGATGCAGGTAATCGGCTGCAGCAGTGGGAATAAATCCCTCCCTGCTAGGCAGGTAGGAAGAGAATGTTTTGTTTCTCTCTGAAAGGCTGGAAGCAGCAGGCTGGCTAAATACTGGAGTGCTGAGAGTGGACAAAGACTCTAGGTTGGTGAAACCACATTGTTTTGTTTAGTTTAACCCTGAGAGATAGGGAACCTAATGTCAGTTAGTGCTCAGACGAGCTAGGTTTTTGTTTATAAGGTTTTGTGTTACATTTATGTTTTTCATTTACTGCTGTATCCTGTGTGGATTTAAAAATAAAGTGCCTGGAGTATATGCAATTACAAGGACTGTGCATGTTTTTGCCCTAGAGGACCGTGCTACCTGCCGACAAGGATCACAGCACCAAAACTGATTTATTAAGCCAAAGTTGTTTTGATGCCTATAGTGTACCTTTAAAAGTGTGACTTATCTTAACATATTCTTCCTGGTAAACTAAACAATACATACACAAGAAAATTAATACATGGACAGTTGTGAAGCTCGTACTTAGTGACTCTCAAATTATGGCAAACAAATGTCTGTAATTTGAAAGTAACTAAAGTTATTATCAAAATAGTAACAATAAGTAGAAAATCGAACTTGCTTTACCATTGTTGAGTTTTGTCACCGCAACTATGTGACAATATGAGCAAGAAGGGCAAATAGTCATACAATCAGGGCTGAAAATTGCCACTTGTTCACTAGGCACTGGAGACTGAAATTGCAGCCCTGGCAAGTAGAATCTCACCTCTGGTGAGTGTGCCATGGACCTTGATAAAGCATGATAATGGCATAGATAGGTTGTTTATGTATTTGTTGTGTTGCAATGCAAGAGTTGCAAATATTCTACTTTATTTTACCTTAAAGAACAGAGGTTTGTTATGTATCCAAGGTTGCTGAAATAAGAAGATACTCGATAGGCCTCATCGTCTGTTTAGTGTGAAGAAATAACATTGCACAGCCTTCTCTTTTTTTTTTAGGTATAGGCTGTAAGTTATGGCGTATAAAAAGTTTTCCTGTGTTCATATTCAGAGAGAAATGATATACATCCATGATGACAATCTCACATGAACAGCTCAGCCAGTGGTTCCCAACCTTTTTAAGTTCAAGGCGCCCTTAATAAGTCAATATTTTTCCAAGTCAAAACTATTTTCTAGGTTGTAAATATGTACAGTGCGCGGCATATACTGTGCCCCTGTGTGTGTGAGGGATACAGTGTGTGTGAGGGGTACAGTTTGTGTATGGAAGGGTAATGTGTGTGTGTGTGTGTGTATGGGGGGGGTAATGTATGTATGGGGGGGCAGTGTATGTATGGGGTGGAGGAGTTATTGTGTCTCTGTGGGGGTAGAAGGGCAAATTAATAATATGAGCATAACACCGGGAAAATATCTTGTGGTGCCCCTGTGTGCACGTCTCAGCGCCCCAGGGCTGCACACAGTTTGGGAACCGCTGAGCTAAGCAATAACATATAACCATAATGCAATAATCAATAATTAACTATGCTATCTGCTTCTGCACCAACTTTGTCATTTTTACAAGATATCAAATATTGCTTCTTAACAAGAGTAAAACCCTCTGAACAAATCAGAAAGATTCTGTGAATTATCTGCAACAAACCATTCCATCTTTCAGAGGCAAATAACATGTTTTTAAAAGCAGAATTACACTCATTATCTATTTTCAATCCATTTGTTTATTTCTGTAAAAAACTGTAGCATTCATATTAACACTTAATATTATCTCTCAGCATTTTTTTTGTCCATAAATTCTTGCTACTTTTAGGCAAAGTGGAGAAAATTGACTGCAAATTGTCCCGTATCGTTGGACATGTTTGAGCATATCAGTCTTATGACGTTGGACTCTCTACTGAAATGTACTTTCAGTTATGACAGTGGTTGCCAAGAGTAAGTATTTTCTTTCAACTTATCTGGATACCAATTTAATCCACTACCAAAAGAATTGAAAATATTTAAACCTACTTCTATGAGCTGTCCTGTAGACACTAGCATGTTGGAAAGCTTTGGAGGGTTTTTGTGTGGTCACTGTGATCCTACTCTACAGTAGATGATTCCCTGTTTTACAAAATAACAAACCAGGAAGGAGTATATACTAATACGGACCCTTGCATGCTGTGACCAACATTATAGCTAATATCAAGAAGGTTTAACAGTAAATAAATACTGAAAAATAATACTTTGAATGTGGTATCCTTTTATCTAGTTGAAATATTAGTTTTAAGCAAAAACCTTAAACCATATAAAAATAAGTAAAAAATTGAGTACTTGAAGAATAGATAAACTTAGTCAAAACTGTGGGTTAACACCCATACTACTTGTATTATTAAACTTGGTATTTTTTATTTTTACAGGAAGTCCAGTGATTACATTGCTGCAATTTATGAGTTGAGTGCGTTGGTGGCACACCGTTATCAATATCCACTCCACCACATTGACTTCATATATTATCTCTCTTCCAATGGACAGAGGTTCCGTCGGGCTTGCAATATCGTGCATGGCTTCACAGCGGGAGTTGTACAGCAGAGGAAGGATGCCCTGCAAGATAAGGGGGTGGCTGAATGGATTAGGTCCAAGCAAGGGAAAACCAAAGACTTCATTGACATATTGTTACTTTCACAGGTCAGTTTTACATGGATAAGATTTTAAATTGTTTTTCATTTTTCAGGCGAGCAAAGAAGAGCAAGTAGTATACCTAAAGTTTTGACATTAGTGGTCTAGTGACTCTAACCTCAATCAGAGATGTATAATGGCCTAGGTCAACAAGGATCTAGTTCAGTAAGAGGAAGACAGCTGGTTAGGATACAGCTCAACGTTAGAATAAACAAAGGGCTAGGATGTTCACTAAAGTGAGAATTCAAGGTGAATTAAAAGTGAATTTCAACCTTAAGGAAAAAGTAGTCAAACTGTAAAAGAATTCTAAATCATCTATGCTTTCCATTCACCTACCTTAACATTGAACTTCACTGTGAATTCTCACTTTAGTAAATAACTCTAATAATGTAAAAGTACCAAGGTGATACAGTTATATATTTTTATATCATTATTATAGTATTAAATCCAAAACATGATAGTTCCAACTTAAATATGGAAAGCTTTATTTTTGTACTTGCAAGTGTTCATCCCCATATTGGTGAAGACCATATAACCTTTAGAAACTATAATCCAAAATTTCAAGCATCCATTGTGAATCTATCCCAGAGTAGCCTATTGCTTCTGTTTTAGCATTGTCTATAATAAAAGTGTGAATAGTGCAATACCACTATAATGTTTAAATGGGTTTGTTGCAATCATATGTAGCTATTTACCTTATATTAGGATCTAAGCAAATTGCAGCCGGCCTTCAATGGGTAGCTGAATGGTTTTCAAATAACTCAATTTCAGGTAAAACTGTTGAACTTGGACAAGCTAACATCATACATCTACTAATTTGCATTTCATACAAGCCTGAATGTTCATAATACTAAATTGTTGACAGAACCAAGTACTCTACAACTAACCAATCTCGAGGGCTGCACCATGCCGGTGGAACTCACTTCCCTCCTCCGTCAGATGCTCACCCAGTCTCCATTCCAAAAAAATCATAAAAAATCCACTTCTTCATAAAAGCGTATCAATTAAACTGTTAATAGCTCCCGACTGATTCCTCTCTTGCAAATATCATTAGCCTAATACTATCTTTACCTTTTGTGTCACTTTACCTCACTCCTTCTAGCATGTAAGCTCATTGAGCAAGGCCCTCAACCCCTCTGTTCCTGTGTGTCCAACTTGTCTGGTTACAACTACATGTTTGATAGTCCACCCACTGTAATGCGCTGTGGAATTTGTTGGCGCTATATAAATAATAACATAAAAATAACCAAATCAATGTGTCATATTTTTGTTCAGGATGAGGATGGAAGTCAGCTGTCTGATCAGGAGATGAGAGATGAAGTGGACACCTTTATGTTTGAAGGTAGGATAACCATAACTATATTTTCATTTTTAAACTATTGAATCAGTGTGATATCATTACTGAGGAAAATGTTATTTACCATTTAATAGATAAAAAATTTTACATTTACACTAGCATGCCTGTGTGTTTGTAAATATAATACTCAAATTCCTTGAATATTCTGTACGATAAGGGAGTTCACTATTTATCGCTGCTACCTTAATAAGGACAAGATCAATGTCCTGTAGCTCATTTCCCCATGGGAAGCCTTGGCAGGGGACTATGCTGTCAGTTGTCATTCAGAAAGTGTTGTACAGGAATCAGTAGGTTATAAGTAGTGGTCAGTCAGGGGCCATTTTAGTTTCAAATTCCATGTGAAGTTGTCCCACACTCCCATCCCTATAGGCATGATTTTGGTTTACTGTCACAGTCATGGGCAGGAACTTGCCAGGTATTTAGGTCATTCAGGCATGGTTGTTCAGTGGTGGCAATGATCACGGGAGGTTCCTGGTTAGGCATTTTAACGGGGAGCCTCAGGTAAGGGACAGCCATCTGGAAATGCACTCCCCAAATTGGGCACCTTCATAGTTACATAGTTACATAGCTGAAAAGAGACTTGCGTCCATCAAGTTCAGCCTTCCTCACATTTGTTTTTTTCTGTTGATAAGTTTTGGATTATTGTTCATGTTAACGCACCTATTTTGAGGGAAAATTATTTTAAATAAATTGGCTGTAGATTTTTCATAATCATACTTGTGTTTATATGTACACGAGAAGCTTAGACATGTCATTTTTTGTCCAGATTATTTGGGATATCTGAGGAATATGCAGTGGGCCATTGGTTTTCCATCTGGATGTCATGTCAGTTGTGCTGTCTGGCATGTCCCTAAATTATTCACCAGCGGCAATAGGGGAAAAGTTCTCTAAAACCTGTTCTGTGCTAGAGCTGTCAGTACATGATCTATGTGATTTTGCAAACAAGCCAATTGTGAAGAAAATAGACTTTTTATTGACATTTTCTTCTTTGTTTGGTACTTTCCTGTTTTATTACCTGTATATTAAAAGTATTGGTTTGGTAGTGCTCCCTGGGCGGCCGCTGTTCGTACAGACGAACACCACGTGGAATAGAAAACGGCGGCCATCTTGTTCACATGAGGGGAGTCAGCGGGACTTGGTCGTCGAGTGTCTGGAACTAAAATCGGACACTCGACCTCGCGGACAACCGCTGAAACTACCGAACGCCGGCTTCTTGTATTTCCCGAACAGCCAGGGAAGCGCCATTCGGTAGTTCTGTGCGAACGGACAAGGGGAGCAATCGCTACTATGAGCCAGGGTGATCCATTCGGGACTTTTGTTCGGTTTTTACCTATTTGTGAATTGACCGATCCCACACCTTGAATTCATGGAACTGTTTTGGGCAGGAGCCGCGTGTGTGGTCGGTAAAAGGGACCCTCCACACTTTTTTAGAACCCCTGAACTGATCTGGGTGAAATTTGGATATGTTGGTCTCCCAGATCGGGGCTACCAGGGGATATGTAATTTGTGGGGATACCTGGTGGGGAAAGGGGTGTTCTGAGTTTTGGGGAAATTGTGTGCTCTCTGCCTGGAGATAATTGGTTTATTCCTTAACTTATCTCAATATCTCCCAGGCAGAGAGAGGGCGTGTATTACTGTAAATCTGTATGTTGATTGGCTGTTGTCTTTGTTTGCTGTGGGAGGCCCTCTTGCAGGAGGATTTCTCATAAAAGCCTGTGTGTGTCAATAAAATTCATTCCTGTTACACCCTTCATGAAGTCTAGGCTCATGTTTGGGGGATATTCTACTTGCTGGGAAGAATCACCTTGGAACTGCATTTCATCTACCCTATTCCTCTAACCCCTGCTGCAGCTATAATCACTCATGCTCAGCTGTTGGGGAAAGGGAACAGAAGACCACAGCACAATAACCACTGCAGGTCTTAACACCAATAAAATGTACACTTCACACGCAGAGTGGCAATGGAGGATCTTCTTTCTCTGCAGACTGTGAAGACTGAACAGTCCTTGTGTAAGGTAGAGGTCAGTTCCCTACCACAGTGAGATAGTAGGAAAAGATAGCAGACTATGATCAGTCCTTTAAGTGGACATGCTTAACACTATTAAAAAAGTGAGAAAAAAATATAGTAAGATCAGGGATATGGTAATTCAATTAAAAAGTTAGCTTAATGAGTCAGGAAATCATGGTCCATAAATAACTAAGTAAACAAAAAAAAGGATACTGCCCAAAAACACTGTGACTATAGAAACAAATAATACTTCAAAGGTGCTCCCTCAAAAACACCTGCAATACAAATGTTAAAACACAAAACACAAGTGAAGGAGTTAAGCTGAAATGCAACCTAACAGTGGGATTATAAATGGATACAACAGAACCTCAAACCATAGATATAATAAAGCAATGATAACCAAGATTCAGTTCAATATATTACAAATAAAATAAAAGATGATGGGTGGTAGAGAACAAACAGAATAGATATGGTAATTCAAGTAAAAAGTTAGCTTAATGAGTCAGGAAATCATGGTCCATAAATAACTAAGTAAACAAAAAAAAGGATACTACCCAAAAACACTGTGACTATAGAAACAAATAATACTTCAAAGGTGCTCCCTCAAAAACACCTGCAATACAAATGTTAAAACACAAAACACAAGTGAAGGAGTTAAGCTGAAATGCAACCTAACAGTGGGATTATAAATGGATACAACAGAACCTCAAACCATAGATATAATAAAGCAATGATAACCAAGATTCAGTTCAATATATTACAAATAAAATAAAAGATGATGGGTGGTAGAGAACAAACAGAATAGATAAAAGTTTGGGCTTATCCAGCTTGAAAAATCTTCTTGGTACATATAAGAAGTAGAGAAAACCAAACAGAATAGTGCAGATGGGATAAAATTTAGAATTGCATTGACTAAGTAGTGCACTCACCAAGGAAGGCATCAAAACAGGATATCTCCATGTAAAAATGGCTAGATGCTGAAGAGGAAGGAATCCACTTTTTCACTGCAAAAAAATATAAAACAATAGAAAGTGTCTGTATCCTCTATACAATGTGTTTCGTCCCAAGAGACTTCTTTAGGTAAATGTGGATATATCCAGTCATCTTCTTATATAGGATAACACCAATGAAAGAAACACACTGCACCTGGCTTTGCATGCTTCTCAAGACCAATGAAAGAAACACAGTCCACTTGGCATTGCATGTGTTTCAGGCTCTTCCCATAGGAAAGCATTACTTCACTGCTTTCCAATGGGGATTTTAATGATGCTAGATGTCCTCATGCGGATCGTGAGGATGTCCTGCGTCAGTTATGCGACAAAAAGTTTGTTAGGATCCAGGAAGTGCCTCTAGTGGATGTCTGATTGACAGCCACTAGAGGCAGTCTATAGTCCTGCAAGGTAATTATTCCTATTCCTCCAAAACCAAAATGTTTTACATTGAAGGATTAGGAGGGACAAGGACACTGCACCCAGACCATGAGCCTATAGTTTCCCCTTAATGGACTTGAAAACCACATAGGAAAAACTTTGAAGACTGGCAGCAAATGCCTATATATAAACGTTGTTTCTTTTGTATAAAGTATCTTATGCTTGCTGCTATAATGTGATACTCTGTAAAAGTGTGTCATTCCATCCACTGATAAGTGCTCTAATTGAACGATTAATGAGAAGGTGTATTTGGTTTTGATCTTTTGTGCTTAATAAGTTATTAGGTTCTCCTATTTTCACCACAATTCAATGGAATTATTTTAACTAAGGCGCTCCACTTAGCTACTTAATTTTTTACTTTTATATATTATTAATGCTTACATGAAGATCAGAAAATTGTACATGAAGGTTATACAGAAATATATATAACGCTGATGTTTTTGCAAAATTTCTCTTACCAGGAACTTGGCAACACAACACATTTATTGTGAATATGTAAAACATTATTTAGAATGCTTATATGTTAATAATAATGTGTTAATGTGAATTATTTCAAATTAGTTAATGCATGATATTTATCTATATTGATATTATTTCTTTCCAAAGGACATGACACCACAGCCAGTGGCTTATCTTGGATACTGTATAATTTGGCCTGTCACCCAGAATATCAAGAGAAATGCAGGGAGGAGATTAGAGAGCTAATCCGAGGGGAAGACACTGAAGAACTGGACTGGTAAGTAACCAAACCATGGGATTATGTCAGACTTTTGCAATTCAAAGCACTTTATTTTAAATGCAGTGATATTAAACATATCAATACAATCTATCTATTCCTCTGTTGAATCACTTAACTGTGTGTCTGATATGTGTAAAAACATTTATATACTTACCTTAAAAGGATATCTCATTTACTTGTGGTTTAATCATGAATCCAAATGCATTATTACTGCAAAGACCTCTTTGTTTTGGGTTCACCCTCTTGCTCAATATGACCAGTTGAAACACCATAAGGAAAGATATAGGTCTGTAGAAATGTTGCATTCTCATAAGGTTTCAGTGGAAATAACTATTTATCGATGAACATCATAAGGTAATACATGGGTCACAAACGCTTCTCATTAAAGGGGGGAAATATTAATGTGATGGAATTACAAATGAAAACTAACATGGAATGGACTTTAATACATTATCATTGACTTTTCATTCATGATTAAGAAGTGTTAAACCTTTCTGAAAGGCAGACATTGGATTTTTGTGGTCCTCCAATCTTTACTGGTTTGTGATTTCAGAATGATTGATAGTCAGTTATGGAGTCTGCAAGCTCTCTCAGGGTTAACTTTTCTTAATGCTTCTTTTCATTTACTTCTAAAGCCACTCTTTGTTGTGGTGAACGAGGGGAAGATTACCAGCACCACCTTCACATTTTAGAATACTTTTTTTTTCTACAAATAGATAAAAAAAAAGACCTGCCACTCTCAGTGTAGGCAAAGTTCATTTGTGAAGTCAGCTACAGCCACACACTTTGTATAGTCATGAGGGAAGAAGCTTGCAATTTCTAAAGCACGTGCAGTGGCACAGAAGCACACTGCAAATCAAAAAATCCATCTAATTAAAAATAAAAAAAATAAAGCAAACACACACACTAGTGTATCCAAGTGGGTATAAGTGAATTTCTTTATCAATTCATTGAATGATGAAGGTGTGACTGTTCATGTCGAACCTGCCTCTGTCAACTACTGGCACTATCCCCAAAATCCCACCAGTTCTGCCCAAGGGCCTCATGGGGGTGGTGGTAGTAGTGGAAGAGGAAGTGCAACTGGTAGGTTGTGACAACTGTGCAGAATCAGATACAGCTTGACTTGCTTCTTTGATCAGTAATACAGATGTGTGGCATCCTTTCAGATGTAGCCTCATCCCAGCACTATTGAGATGTCTCTTCATTCGCCCCCTGCTCACTTCGTTGCCACACAATTTGCACAATTCAAATTGACCTTTTTGGAGACAGTTAAAGTGATCCAAAGTTTCGTTTAGTTAGTGCAAAGCAGTACCCTCTGCCTTGCGTCTGCTGAGGATGCAGGTGGATTTTCATCGGTGGCAGGTGATGTTGCCAGTATAGATCATGTTGATGGTGGTGGCATTGGTACTGGTGGTGGTGGTTTTAGTGGTAAAGGTAACATTGACATTGGGTGAGCTACTTGTACAAGTGGTAGCAGGTGCATCTGATTTCTCAACTATCAAGTTAATAGTAAAAGAGAGAGAAAGATAATATTGTAATATGTAACACAAAGGTGTATATTTTTTTTTTATAACTCTTGAACTAGCAGTGATAGTAGGAGCTGCATTTCAAGTAGAAATGGCAATATAAATTGTTGCAACACAAAAAAATTGAAAAAAAAAACCAATTGACTCCTGAGTGTCGAATAATGGACATTCTGTTAATTTCACTATCCTGAGCCTGAGTACGACTAATAGTGGTGGTGGCGGTGTCAGCAGTCATTATAACCCATGTGTTTAAACTCTTAGAAGCTGTGGCACTACTACTCATAGTGGATTGGAGTACAAGTCCCTTGTCCCTACAATTCCTTAATTTTGGCACGGATGTGGTATCTGACATTGATGATGATACCTTTTTTTTTTTTTTTTTCTTGTTTTAGTAAAATAGGTATGCAAATGGTTGTGCATATTGTAAACTAACACACATTTAGCAGGAAATATAGGTGCTTGTATTCCAAAGTGGGCTGGTGGATTTACCGCTGAAATGTTATTGTGTTTGGCGTACACAGTGCATGCACACTTGTACATATACAATGTACTGACATTAGTCAGAAAACAGTAAATAAAGTATGATGTTATGTAAACAAGACAGAGTAATCCCTATAATGGGCCAAACTACGAAAAAATGTCCAATAATTATAAAAACATCCCAAACCCAACCATAAACCTTTAAAATCCTACCATGAATCCAAAAAGCATTTTTTAAAAGGGGTGATTTTTTAAAATAGTAGTCATTTGAAAGAGGGTCAAGGGTGCAGAACCTGGCTAGCATCCCTTAGGGAAAGGAAAATAGATTATAAAGAAAGCTACACTAGACTAGTTAGGTCTAGTGTAGTTTTCTTTGACTAGTTAGGTGGATTAGTTAGGTCCACCCAACTTTTGAGAGTTATTAATTTGAATGAGGATCAGCTTTGTGTTCTTGAAAAAAGGTCTTTCCTTTATGCCAGTCATGGTTTTTGATAAATTCATGTATTCCAAAGATCTACACGTATTTCGCGCAAACTAGCATTGCATAAATATCACAAACCTAAATTGAAGAGAAAAGTTAATGCTTGGACCATACTACAGAAAGATTATTAAAGTGTCTCTATGTGTTGTTTGACCTTCAAAATGAGAATGATAGGTCCTCTCATGCCAAGTGTCATTTTACTCTAAGTCTTAATAACTTCTACAATATTGAACTTTTCATCGACTCAGTCTCTAGCTTGGCTCTTTCCTTTGCAAAAGTAAATTACTTCAATACCCTCATAACCACACTCTCCCGCGAACCCAAACGACTATTTCACCCATTTAACTCTCTTCTTCACCCCAATTGTTCCTCCTCCATCTACTAACTTGACCGCCTCAGACTTTGCAACTCACTTCAATCAGGGAAGAGATCTCTCATCTTTCTTCTTCCCGTTACAAAACTTCCCTTAACCTCACTTCCTCTGCTGTTCTATGTTCATTCGCACCCGCTACAGTGGAAGAGGTTTCTGCTCTGCTCCAGTCCTCCCACCCCACCACCCGCTCCCTAGATCCAATTCCTTCGCATCTCATCGGTACTCTGTCTTTTTCTCTTTCTCCACCTCACACTAAAATTTTCAATCTCTCTCTCTCCTCTGGCATATTTCCATTGCCCTTCAAACATGCAACTGTAACCCCAATTCTAAAGAAGCCCAACCTTGACCCTAACTCCCCGTCCAACTACCGTCCTATCTCGCTATTGCCTTTTGCATCCAAGATCCTTGAAAGAGTTGTGTATGCAAGATTGACAGACTTCCTCGACTCTAACTCTCTGCTAGACCCGCTTCAGTCTGGTTTCCACCCTAAGCACTCTGTGGTAACGGCACTGACCAAAGTATCCAATGATCTACATGCTGCAAAATCTCATCCTAATTCTCCTTGACCTGTCTGCAACTTTTGACACTGTTGATCATCAACAGCTTCTTCTCATCCTGCGCAATATCGGTCTACAAGATATTGCTCTCTCCTGGTGCTACTCCTACCTTTCCTAGCACTCTTTCAGTGTTTCTTTCTCTGGCTCTGTTTCTTCTCCTCAACTCCTCTCTGTTGGTGTCCCCCAAGGTTCAGTCCTTGGTCCCCTACTGTTCTCTATTTATACTGCCTCCCTTGGTAAACTCATTAGCTCCTTTAGCTTCCAATATCATTTCTATGCGGATGACATGCAAATCTACCTGTCCTCTCCTGATCTCTCCCTGTCCCTCTTGACTAGTGTCTCTGACTGCCTCTCTGCTATTTCTAAATGGATGACTGCCCACTTCCTTAAACTCAACTTGGCCAAAACTGAAATTCTAGTCTTTCCTCCCTCAAGTGTTGCTACTCCTGTGTCTGTCTCCCTTCGAGTCAACGGTGATACCATCAGCTCCTCCACGCAGGCTCGCTGCCCTAGGTGTTCTCTTTGATTCCGACCTCTCCTTCATACCTCATGTTCGGTCTATCGCCAAATTCTGTTTCCATCTCAAAAACATTGCGCGCATCTTACCCTACTTAACGTCAGATGCGACTTACGTGCTGGTCCATTCTATTGTCCTTTCTCGCCTTGACTACTGTAATCCTCTTCTCAGTGGTCTTACATGCTCCCAACTTGCACCGTTACAGTGCATAATTAATGCGGCAGCGAGGCTCATCTTCCTGTCCTCCTACTCTTCACCTTTCTGTCAGTCCCTGCATTGGCTTCCTGTAAGATATGGGGCTTAATTTAAAATTCTGGTTCCTGCTTTCAAATCTTTAAATAATGCTGCTCCCATCTATCTATCCTCACTAATACACAAGTATGTCCCGTCTAGGCCCTTACACTCTGCTGAAGACTTACGTCTGTCTTCTGTCCGTACTCCCACTTCTGATGCTCGCCTTCAAGACTTCTCCAGGGCTGCACCGTTCCTGTGGAACTCCCTTCCCTCCTCCGATAGATGCTCACCCCGTCTCCACTCCTTCAAAAAATCATTAAAAACCCACTTCTTCATAAAAGCGTATCAATTAAACTTTTAATAGCTCCCGACTGATTCCTCTCTTGCAACTGTCATTAGTCTAATACTATCCTTACCTTTTGTGTCACTTTACCCCACTCCCTCTAGCATGTAAGCTCATTGAGCAGGGCCCTCAACCCCTCTGTTACTGTGTGTCCAACTTGTCTGGTTACAACTACATGTCTGTTCGTCCACCCACTGTAAAGCGCTACAGAATTCGTTTGCGCTATATAAATAATAGCATAATAATAACCATTAAACCAGTAGATAAAGGTGGAAATGTGGTCACTATAGGTAGCAGTAAATATGTCAACATGGTCCACAAGGTACTTGATGATGATGACATGTATAATATTCAAATCAGACACTACTGGTCAGTTTCTAAAGGAATATAGGAATATGAAGATGACAGTCAGAGAGTAGAGGGTTACTATTGAGAGATGAATATGAATAAATTCACAACAGAAATCTTAAAATAGCATCTTTATACTTCTTGCTCCCTAAAGTCCTCAATAGTTTGGCTGACCTTCCTGGTCAACCAGTTGTGCAAAGATACTCAGACTGTTTGCTAAGTCTTTACCGTCATATATTCCCGATACTAAACAAGCCCTGGTGATTGCCTTGCCTTGACACAACTTTGCAGCCTTGACATGGAATTTCTTTACTCCTCTACTCCACATGACAAGGCAATTCTTCCATGAGAGGAGGGGGAAGTCATTTTGTGGGACACACCACTTTTACTCTAGACCTTTTCCAAATCATATTTACTCACACTTGCTTACTTTTTGGCAACACCTTATACCACGAAGTGAGGGTCACTGTGATGTAATAGCTTGTGCACCATCACATATCAACCTGCACCTGAGGTGAGAGGAAGTTGTTGTTTTCTCCCAGGATATCACTGAAATTCTCTCATGTAAAAATTTATGGCATCACTATATTGATGTCATTTTCATTGCCTGGCTTGTTATCCAAGAGAAAGTCCTAGTATTTGTAGCATTGTTGTATAGGACAGACCAAGATTTAAGGTTCACCCCCCAAGTTGGGAGGTTCTTTTTTAACTTTCTGGACCTTACTGTCTCAATTAATAATCAGCGAACCCTGACTACTACGGACAGGCCAGTATTTCAGGGTGCAGAGACACTGCAGTACCATGGAAGATGTTAAGGCCAAAGCTATCATTTTGAAAAAAAAAATGACTTTTTCAGGAAAAAAGCTACCCAACCAAATGTTTAAATAGAGCCTATAAAAGGAGCCTAGTGACAAACAGTTCCTTTTTTTGGAACCCCAACCCACCTCTAGACAAATCAAAGCAATCTATTAGATGTATAGGAACTCATGGTGCTTATTGGCACTTAATTCGAGACACTTTATGTTTTTGCACCTGCTAACCAATGACCCACATCTGAGGGAGGTGCTGAGCCCCCATGCTACTATAACGGCTCACAGAGTGGCAACATTTGAGGGACATGCTTTCAGCTAGCCACTATCAAGCAAAGATCTAAATTACGAATTTGCTTCACAATACTCTTATTGGCACATTGAAATGTGGGAGGTGTATGGTCTCCAAATACATTGAGAGAGACTCTAAACTGATCCACACAGCGACAATAAAAAAACATTCCAAATCAAAACATTCTTTAATTGTAAAACCTATGGCTTGCTTATCTACTTACTTGTCAATGTGGTATGAAATATATTGGCAAGAACTTTCACCCTTTCAAAGAGCATATAGAGGAGCATGTGAGATCAGTCAAAAACCCTAGGGATACACCTTTTATTTACGCAAAGATTTATCTAGTGCTCCTGGCAGTAATAGCTAAATATAGAATAAAGTGAAAACTAGTCTCACTCTAGAATAAATGACCCAGGCTATCCCCCACTCCAACACAGCAAGAATAAAACACACATAGATCCACTGCTGGTCATCCTCCCTCAATAGCTGAAGTCAAAGAGTCTGGAAAAGCCCTGCTTAGAAATATAGTAATTTTATTGCTTCTCCTTTTTTTCCCATGTGTTGGTCACATCACTTGATCTGTGAATAAGATCAACATTTAGTGTCTGTCCCCTAGCCATCAATCATCTTTTCTTTTTTTGCTATCTCTTGATTGTAGGAAGATACAGCCCACATAATTGGGAAGACCTCTTTTCCATCATGGGAAACAAAGCTGCTTATTTGCCCCCAATGGAAAAAACTGTCCTCCATTTCAACACCCTATTTTATGGTGCCAAGAATCACAAATCACAAATTAAATCACAAATGTACATGTGTATACAGTATCAGTACTGCTATGGCCAGCCCAGTCACCAAATATCAGAAGAGCTTCTAGGCAATGGTACAGCTATCAGTAGAAGAGATCCAATAAGTGGTAATTTGGAGTAATTGGTAGAGGCATAGGAGGCATAGGAGCCAAAATGGGTATGGTAGAAGAAGAGGGTAAAGCCTTGGTGTGATCTCAGAGTGTTATTTCCCCCCTCGCCTCCATACAGCGTGGCCGCACCCGATTGCTGTGGTCACTCTGTTAAAAATATAAAAAACGTACCTGAGGCAAGTCAGGTTTCGATTTAGCACCCTCATGGAGTGATCTCCAACAGGTTCTAATGAATGCTGGCCGCTGCGGTCCTACAAAACAATATAGCCCCGCCTCTGTCCTCAACAAACCGATGTGTACAAACGACACGCATGCACGTTATTAGGGTCAAAGGCTATGTACAACCAATCATAGCCTTAGGAGGGTTATTTAAACTCAAAATAGCATTTGATCAGTGCCCTGTCGTGGTTTCCACTAGTTGGTTAACATAGAGTGCGTTTTAGTTATTTTTGATATTTGACTTTGGCATGTATTTTGACTTTCCCATATTTCTGGTATCCTTGACTTTTGACTTGTTTCCTCGTTGTGTCGCTTTCTGTGTCCCTGACCTTGGCTAGTATTTTGACCATTCTTTATTAAATTACTTGCCATTCTAAGGCCCGGTATACGTTATCCTGATTCATTGTATGTTACATAGTTCTGCTTGTTGGGTCACATAGTAATTGTTACACAGAGGTAGACGTTGTCTCACTGGTAGTTGAATATATAAAAGAGAAAGAATATAACAAAATATAGTGTAGTATATTCTGTATAAAATAGTTCAGAATAAGAAGTGCTCTTACTAAGTGTAGAGCTCTAGTAGCTCTACTAGGTAGCGCCTGGGTGCTTTGATCCCCCCCTAAGGATCGCTGGTCTCTTCTTAAATAAGGTGCTAGGGTATGTGGTGACCTCAGGTAGGCAGGTTAGCTCTGGATGATATATATCCCAGCTGAAGACTTTATGAACTTGAAATCACATGAAGTGATGGTTTTATGCAGATTAAAACAAAAATAAAAATACAGTGTACAAAATCCATAAAATAATAAAAAATACAGAGGAAAAGCAAAAATATGGTTTTGCTTGGTCCACAGCACTTAACTGGTATGCTATATCCGGGCTCCAGGAGAAAAGATCAGGGGTATGTCTAGAAGAAGTATAAAACATAAGAACTACTTTATAAGTATATATCAATCCAGGCAGTAAAAAAACACTTAACAAGTTTCACCTCGAAAAAGGCACTCTGAAAAATGTACAGACAAATGGACTTACATGGATTATAAAATTCAAATGTAACTTACATATGTAGTCATAATAATGTGATCAAATAAAACAATTATTAAATAAAAGATACAGAAATTGAATAACCCCTTTAGGCTATAAAAACAATCTATAATAAAGATGTTAATACTCAAATTAATATAAAAACAAAATGGTGCCACTAATCACATCCATGATTGGTGATAAAATAACACATTTTTTAGTATATAAATTGATGAGATAGCTCAGTGGGCTAATGCATCATCAGTAGTAACTGCTAAACCCGGGGGTTGCAGGCTTAACTCCCAGCAGGGCCAACTCAGCTCTTATCCTTCTGAGTCAGACAAAACGAGCATCACTAAATTGGGTGAAAGTAAAATCCTCAGAATGTACCTGGAAACCAGAGCATATCCACATGTACTGTTCCTTATCAAACATTTTGTAATTATCATTATTTAAAAAAAAGAAAAAAACACTATAAGAGAGAATAAAGGAGGGAGTGGCATGTACAATTAACATTAAGCCAAATTGAGGGTTTAGAACTAAAAAAATGTATGTGTTACAATTATATCCATTAAAAAATATATAACTAACAAATAAAATAAAAACATATATATATAATATTAAAGTAGCGACCTCGTATGACTTGTATTGGGATGGCGGCACTTATTTATCTTTTGTAAGAGAATCTTTTCCAGAGAGAGACTTAGGCACATTATAAAGAGAAGACTTTTATAAAATGCAGAACAGGCAGATTAACGCTGTAAGGTTAAAAAAATACAAATTTGAAGAATGTAATAAAAAAAAAATATAATAGGAAGGGATAAAATTGGACATAAAAACAATTAAGCCAAATTTGTATAAAAATTTAATTAAAAGGGAATATGTGAAATGACTATATAATAGATAATGAATAAAAATAAATGTTTTTAACATATTGCCCTCTTGACAAAGTGGGAAAGGTATGGGAATTTTCTATATAGTACAACATTTTTATTGACTTGGATCCTTATTGTGTAACAGGAAATGCTTTGATACTGAATGGTTTCTAACTGCTTTAGAATGTTCCTCACATGTTCAGCTATTCTAGTTTTATATTTTCTTGTTGTCATGCTGATATACCGCAAACCACAGGGGCATTCTATATTTTTTGAATTACATGTAATAAAATTCCTTTTATCATGTTTTTTTTTTGATTAATATGATTAAAATTTTAATGTTAGAGAGTTGATTTTATATGTATTTTTACAAGCAGTGCAGTTTTACATTTATTAAAACATGTTTTATCTAAAAATAAAATTTAATGGGAACATTTATTTCTGGTATAGTTTTTGGTAAACTGAGTTTTTAAACTGGTAGCTCCTCTGAAAATAGTTTCCGATTTATCTGGAATGATTCCTTTAATGGTATTGTCTTCTTTCAGAAGGTTCCAATGTTTATATATATTTTTTTTTCATTTTGTGGCTCTTGTTATTAAAATCAAGAATATTAGGATCTATGGGATTATTGTTTTAGAGAGTTTGTACTGTATTAGTTATTTTCTATCCATTTAGCCTATGTTAGAAATTAGTTTGTTGATCTGATTGCCATCATAATTACTCTCCAACAGTTTTTCTTTTAGAGAATATGCATCTTTTGTAAACATTTCCAAATCAGTGCAGTTTCTTCTTAAACAAATTAGTTGACTTTTAGGGATACCCCTAAGCCACGGGGAATAATGACAATGGTTGTATTGAAAAAAGTATTTGTGTGCACCTCTTTAAAAAAGTTTTTGTATTTAAAATAATAATATAAATCTCCAGATCTAAAAAAAATACTTCTGTTTTGCTAAAATCTGAAGTTAAAACAATTCCTGTATCATTGAAGTTTAGATATTTAAAAAAAATTAAGATCCATTTTTGTGTCATTCCAAACAAAAAAATTCCCAATCAGCCATGAATAGATTTGTGTAGCTAGGGGCGAACCTAGTCCCCATAGTTGTTCCTTGTTTCAGCAGATACAAAGATTTGTCAAACCAGAAATAATTATTATTTAAAGTCATAGATATACCCTCTATAATAAAATATATTTGTATAGTAGAAATGTCTCGGGCATGTTCAAGAATACTGAAATGTACCAAACTCTCTGTTCATTGATCATTTTGATTATTTGTAGAGTCTAATCACTGATAGACTAATGGCGGTGGAGGTGGTGGAGGTGGTCAGTGGAGGTGGTGTAAAAAAGGTACATTTAAATGCTATGCATGTGTGCCTCATGTTTTGCACAAACTGTACATAGGTATGTTGCTTAATGCACAAGTATAGTGCCTGACCATGCTTCAGGGTTACAAACTCTTCTCATGGCCAGACCAACTTACCCATTCATTTGAGGACAAAACTTGTAGTACCATTAAGTAGTCATATCTTATCTATAGCTAAAGACATACTTGAAAATGAGGGAGAGTCTCACATCCTATTGATATAATGCATGCCTATTTCAGGGAAGCATACAAATTGCACTAATTTCTGATGTACGTATTAATTAGGGAATATATGCAAAACAAAAAGAAAAAAATAGTGATCATTTAGTTTATTTTATGGGGACATTTGACCTCTATTATAGTGGACATAAAAATGCATTATCGCAGTTGACATAATCCTCCCTTATAAGTGAATCTCTGTATTTGCTTCCTAGGGATAATTTATCTAATTTACCTTTTACCACCATGTGCATAAAAGAAAGTCTAAGACTACACCCTCCTGTAACAATAGTTTCCAGACGTTGTACTGAGGACATCAAATTGCCAGATGGCAAAGTCATTCCAAAAGGTAAAATGTACATTTAAGGCTGAATCATAATAGTTCTGTTAAACTTAAAATAGTACAAAATTAGCTAGTGATTAAGTAGGGAAAAGGGTAAGAGAGCTGACGAATAGAAGGGAAACATGATGTCATGGTTAGATATTTAGATTTGGCATCCAAGTGTGAAGTTTGTTACATTTTTTACACAAACCGAAAAAGAAAATATGGGGTTGCGCATTTTTGTTTAGGTATATTTCTTTTGTATAGCTGTGTCTTATATTGAATGTTTACTTCCTGTCTCTTTCAAGGTAACATCTGTCTAATCAGTATCTATGGAACCCATTACAACCCTTTAGTCTGGCCAAATCCAGAAGTAAGTGTTGGGGACATAATAGCTTATTTATATTCTGTTAATGTAAAGATGTACATCCACTCTTAAGATCTCTTTTATGTCTAGGTATATGATCCATACCGTTTTAATCCAGAGAATTCTAAAGACAGATCTTCACATGCATTTATTCCATTCTCTGCTGGTCACAGGTAAAGATATTTTTTATAACATTGCTCATAGCAATCCTTTATACCTGTTACATTTACTTTATCTTCTTTCCATAATTAGTGAATATCCATTCCTTTCTATCTCCCCATTACATTACTGGAATCATGTATTTTCCTCTTGATGAGACCGCCACATGACTCAAAGGCACATATACACAATAATTGCAATTTAGTCTGACTAATAGACCTGTTATTACAAACGATTCAAAAGAAGGCAAAACACTTTTTTAAATTCTAGGTTTATGGGTATATAAACATTGCTATCACTTCTAGAATTATTTTGTTCGTTTTGTTGGATTTATTTTTAAATTCCAGTGCAATCAGAAGTTATACATGAAACAACTGTTTGTCTTATGTGAGTGCCGATCCTCGCAGGCTTCCCCAAACTCCAGCCCTCCAGATATTGCTGAACTACAACTCCCATGATTCTCAGCCTATCTATTTCATTCATAGAATCATGGGAGTTGTAGTTTAGCAACATCTGGAGGGCCGGAGTTTGGGGAAGCCTAGGGTAGAGCTTCTGCACCTGAATCTTGCCATTCCCATCAGCCATTGGTTATGACAGTGGATGGAAATAGACATTTCACACACTGCACTATAGATGCTTATTGCAACTTATTGCCCGGCCTCAAGATTATCTACGGAAGATCCCACAGTCTTACAAGATCTTTCATATATCCCATTTGTATTCTTATGCATATATAAAGGAACAGCAGAGACAGCAGGTCCTGGCAGGTGAAGCTGTCTAGAGCTGAAGAGGCAGTGTAAACAATCGGAGAAGTTAAGATAAGTACTGTATTTTTCCTTAACCAGTCCGCCTATGGCCAGCACCATATAAACAGACATGTCACCTTTGCAAGACCTCACTAGTAACAGTGCCGCTTTATGGACCTGAGCCCTTGACTGTATTATGTAAGCTAGTTATTGAAGTAAACATGCAAAATTAAGCCCCGCGCTCAAACTCCTATTACTCCTGGGTGGCAGCAATGGCTACAGTATGCATCAGCTCCAATGAAGAGAACAAAATCAAAAAACATTACTTGTGCACTATCCCAAATCCATATTCACATTTAAATAAATGTAGTTTTTTTTTTTTAGTATCACTTTAATGTCCATTTAAATATAAGCTCACTTGCCAAGTCAAGGCGAAATCTCTTAGGTGTTTCCTGCAAAATCTCTGTCCCTAACAAAGTAACTGTATTCATTTTGATTTTAAGGATAGTGTGCATGTAGGAAAAAGTTATTTCCTTATTACAGTGATATATTCACCCCACACAGGAACTGCATTGGACAGAACTTTGCCATGTCCGAGATGAAGGTTGTGCTGGCTCTTACTCTACTCCGTTTCAAAGTGAGCATCGATGAAACAAAGGCAGTACGAAGGAAGCCGGAGCTAATCTTACGTGCAGAGAATGGACTGTGGCTGCAGGTTGAGGAATTGAAACCATAATAATGTATCAAAAGACCAATCATTGGAGACACTTAAAGCATCTCTACAAATATAGTTTGTGGCTCTGACCTATAAATTTTAGCTATTTTTTTGTAATTGAATTATTAACAATGTTCAATTAAATTGATATTTCTTATTGCTGGAACTTGTTTTTTTTTTTTTATTTACTGAGACATTTCAATTCATTATTTAATATCTGATAAATTAGTAATGTATACAAAGTTTGAAATGTTTTATTAAATCAGATGAAATTGAACAACCAAACATACTTATTAGTCTTAAAAAACAGTACCTATGGAAAACAATGTGTTTATTATTTAGACCTCCTGCAAATAAAAAAAAGTGTTAAAACATTTGAATCGTGCAAGTAAAGAGTAATTTTTAATAGGGTGCAGATCCCTGACCAAAGTGCATGTTTGTGTTCTAATACGTCATATCTTGTTGCCTTTGACACTTTTTTGTCACTTGGTAGCACATTTTCCACTTTTAACATTATTAATTACTTGCAGTTTGTGTACTATGTAGATAAGAGGAAACTAGCTAGCTAGCGGGGAGTATGTTTCTGGGTATGTAGATTATTCCGTTATTGGAGCGTTGAGGTATTAACTGGGTATTGCCGGAAGTGTATAGCAGGGTTTAAAGTAGACATATCTTGGGGGGATTGTACAAATTGCAATTTGTCAGAATTTTGGTCAAATGGTGATTCTTTTGAATTGCATAACTTCAAAACAACATATGAAAAGGAGGGAAGGAATGGAGAAAATGCTGAATTTTTTGAAAGGCAAAATAAGCAGCACCATTTTCCATGATGGACAAGAGGTCTGCACAATGATTTAGGTTGTATAAGAGGTGAAAATAGAAATGATTGATAGTTAGGGGACAGTCACTAAATGTTAGTTTTATTCACAGATCAAGTGAGAAGTAACCATTAGAGGGAAACAAAGGGTTATTCAACGCCACTCATGAGGGAGTGGAGCCCAACACAAGGGGCAGGACCTAACATAACGGGTAGAGTCTAGCGCTCCACACCCTTCCAAGCTGGTACTATCTACAGAGCACCTGGGCATTGTACACCTACTCAGGATCGGCTCTGGTGGCTTGTGCTGTATAAACAGAAACAAAAGTATAATCCTGATTCAAATTTATTTTGTAATGTTCAAATCTTTTAAGGGGCATTGTTATAGTTTCCACTCAGATGAAGAAAGATGACAACTGATAAACAGCTAAAATATATAAATTAATTAAATAGTTACATGTACTATAGAATAATTCTAACTTAAAACTGAAATGCTTTCCCATATGATTGGCTGAGAGTTTCAATTCTCATGATGTAAGCTAAGGAGGTGGGCTGAGGGTAGAGTCAAAGGCCACCCTGGCTAATCAGTATCTCATAATACAGAGAATCAATGCATCTCTATGAGGAAAGTTCAGCGTCTCCATGCAGAGGGTGGAGACACAATGTCAGTCACCCACACTGCCCCAGGAAACACCTCCAGTAGCCATCTGATGAGTGGCCACTAGAGGGATTCCTAGGCACTATGAAAAGACAGTGTTTACAGCAGAAAGGCTGCAGGGACTGAATATACTCACCAGACCAAATAAAATAAGTTATAGTTGTTATATCCCTTTAAAGATGAAAGAATGGAAAAAAGTAGAGAGCAGTTAGTAAGACATTGTCCTGCTCTCTCAGTTAAGATTCATCTTGGTTTGAATGAATACAACTGGCATAACTGTGGCAAGCTGCCCACATGCAGCCATGGTTTCTATAGATGTGATGCTATTGGTTGAAAGAGCTGCAGCTGTATTAATGGACCACTCCACATCACAAAGGCACTTCAGCTTGCTGTACTATAGTTTAATCCCAGTTTATAAAAGTGCTGATTTTATAAAATCATAATTTAAATATTTTATAAAATCAGCACTTTTAGAAATTAACTAGCGAACTCCCCCCTGGCTGTCAGTCAAACAACCAGGGAGGATTTCTTCCTACTTCCGTTAGCTCCCCCTAGCTAACAGATGTGGCAGGCATGCCTCTCCCTCCCTCACATACCTCAAACCAGCATCTCAGCCACCGACGTGGGGCACGTGGGGACCAAGTCAGAAGCTTCTCAATGAGAAGCCTCTGATTGGTTATTTTCCTGAGAGTCTCTTCTAGGAAAAAGGGGAGAGCTTACAAAGGCTGCAGTCTTAAGAACTGCAGCTTTGGTAAGCTCTTTTAGACTTTACTCCTAATGAATACATACATAAAAATATGCATGCATGTATTCATTTGGGGTACACCTACTAAATTTTATTTTTCTGTAAGTGTGGAGTGGTCCTTTAAAAGCATAGCTTTGTTCTGTTTAAAACAGAAATTCCTAAATATGCAGAAATATATTTCACCACAGCAGAGTATTACTCGTTAAATGTTCTATATGACTTAATTATAGACCACCAATTTAAATAGTTACATTATATACAAAATTCATAGGGAGAAAGAAGAGACACTCCATACTTTAGATGTAAAGGAAAACTATAGGGTTGACAAGATACAAAATATGAAAATAATGTTATGTTAAATTATATATATTTAATGGAGCCCTACCTTATATCACCCCTTCCTATTAGCTGACATGTCCCAGCCTCTCCTCTTGGCACCATCAACAACTTGCTACTATCCCAAACTGCGCCCAAGCACTTTATTAAAAGGGAGTGGTGTGGGTGACTATAGTGTACCTTTAATGACATCATTATTCTTGATGTTCTGCCAGACACAAAATTGATCAATTACATTTCTTTGAATTACTCAAAAACAAATGGCACTTAGCACACTCCAAGGAATCCAGATATTGCATTCCAAATAGCAATATATAGCAGCAGATGGTTTTGCTTCTCATAGAGAGCATTTGATTGGAGGAGAGCAGTGTTCTGCCACACATGCACATTTGCCTGCCAATGCTTCCCTGTGGTAAAGCATTGGATTGGCTGAGATCATCAAGAGGATGATGCCAAGTTTTCAGAGTTGCCAGGAACCAGTGAGGCACGGAATGCAGAATTTGTTGGCGCTTTATAAATAATAATAATAATAATAATAATAATAAGGTATGTAAAACTTACCTTTAAACGCTTACAGCTAAATAGATAGGCAGGGTAACACTATAGTGTTAGGAATATACATTTGTATTCCTAAAGCTATAGTGTTCCTTTAACCCCTTAAGGACACATGACATTTGTGACATGTCATGATTCCCTTTTATTCCAGAAGTTTGGTCCTTAAGGGGTTAAAGTACATAATACAGCTTTTAGGAACTGTACATAGAATTGGAAACTGCTCGCTTTTGCTGTTGCAGTTGCACATAGTGGGACATGAGTGATAGTTTTGTTTTGTTTTGTTTTTTAATTCTAAGTGACGGTTTTCTAAGGTTACTCTCGTGCTTTTGAGACAGTTTATTCTGTTTGTTTTTTGCAGGGATTTGATTTATGAAAAGGACTTTTTTTTGGAAGGTCAGAGATTAGATGTGCACACAACAGATCACAGTAGAACTGCACTATTCTGTACTTTACATACTACATTTAAAAAAAAAAATTGTATTAAAGATTTTGTAAATTACATCATAACTCAGTTCAGAGGCCAGGACAAACATTGGAAAAGAAGAGGAAACATAGAAACATTTGTTGTTATTTACTAGATGGACAAGTTCCAGTGAAAATAACCAAATTCTGACATCATTGCCAATTTTCCTATTCATAAAGTTAAATATGGTCGAAATTCAGTCTCATATCTGCAACAATCGCACAGATGCAAACAACTATTTCAAGTGCTATTTGCCCACTGGAAGTACCATCAGCCAGAGGGCAAATAGTTTGAAAACCCTCTGCATTGCTAGGGTTAGCTATGAGGTGGCTGGCCAGCACTTGCTAGCCAGCCGCAATATTACATTGTTAACAATAAATAAAAGGCCTATGGGGTCATAAGACTACCATATTACAATAAGGGAGGTTTAACACCTCAAAATGGCCCACATGTAATGAAACAGATGATGGCATGTCTTCTAAATGTTGCCATTGCTGCCCAGTCACTAGAAAGGCCCCATCCACAGTTGCCAGAGGGGAGCCCAAAGTATCAAATTACACCTGGGAATCCAAGATACCAGCAGGGGAAGGAGAACAGTATAGGGGAGATGGGGGGGGCCAGACGCAGATCTTGACAGTGAACAAGACAGAGTAAATGGCGGAGCATCCCCAGAGAGAGAAGGGGGTATCGGTGGAGGTGCATGGTGGAGGCGTACGCTAGCACAGGAAGCAGCGAGTTTAGAGGAGTAACCGAAGCCTGGTGCTGTAAGTTAGCAAACCACCCTGTGTCAATGCTTGTAAGTAGAAAACGCATCTCATACCATAAGCAGGATTTTGTGACAAGGATAGACTGTGTGATTTAATGATATGTGCAAACTGTGGGTCTCTGACAAAAGTGCACAGTTTCCTTGAAGAAACAGTAATCAACTTACAAATTTACTCACCAAAATTAACTACAGTGGAACCTTGGAACTCAAACTTAATCCATTCCTGTAGGCTGTTTGAGTCCCAAAGTGCTCAAAAATCGAATCAACATTTCCCATAAGAATTAATGTAAAATTGATTAATCCGTTCCAGACCCAGCATTTTACATTATATTTATTCTTTAAAATGCAGAGATCATTCTAATAATAAGCACCTTACATTTATTTGAGTGGTTGCTGCCTTTCAACTTGATACAAATTTACTGTTGGCCATTATTACAATTATTTATAATTGTCTGACTTGAAAATGAGACATGGCTCTTTGTTGTATGTTTAGGTACCAAAGATCATTTGCGTATCGAGACATTTGGCTCTTTGTTGTATGTTTGGATACCAAAGATCGTTTGCGTACTGAGCCATTTTTTACTCATGGCTCTTTGTTGTATGTTCGGGTACCGAAGATCGTTCCGAGACATTTTTTTCTCAAAATGTTTGTTCGACTTCAGAATTGTTCGAGAACAGGACTGCTTGAGTTCCGAGGTTCCATTGTAGATCTCAAATCTTTATAGTACATCTTACAGACTGAT